CCCGCTACCTAAGTAGTGACACCTCCAAGTGGCCTAGAACACGAAAATAGAAAAAAAAAAGAAAAAGGAAAAAGGAATACAACTAATATATGCAAACCAGGCTACGCCGCGTTCCGCAACCAAGACCGAGGCTTCTGGCTCTTCGGTCGGCTCTTCTGGGACGTTGATCCCTACGCGTATCTTGCCCTACGCATCAAGTCCGACGGCCGCCGGTACACGGTCAACGTGCAGACCGACGCGGTCGTTGAGACGGATATCCACCAGCACAGACTATACACGCGACACCACCGCCTACGCGACACATCAAACTCACAGGAAGACTATGACTTCCAGGCAGACTCACCCGATGCCGTTGAGGAGTTATATCCTACTGGCCTGCCCGCCGCGCTTTCGGACATCCCACCTGAATCGACGATCATTTCTACCTCTACCAGTACAACAACGTCTGGCTCAAATGGATGGGAGACTGTCCTTTTGCCATTTAACTCGTTTGTGCGCACGAATCACGGCTTTGTCATTGAACCCCAGACCTCTTTGACTCGCCAGCGTGTTAAGAGTATTGGTATTGGTCTCACCGACCGTGTCGAGGGTCCCTTTGATCTACGAATTCACAAGATCTGGGCGACCAATGGCATCAGTGAGGCGGAGATTGAAGAGGAGCGACGGATCTGTGGTGATAATGCGCTGCCTCTTGATGAGGGTGCTAGCTCTGGTTGGACTGATATGCCCAAGAAGTCCATCAAGCAAGAGAGCAAGCAGCAGGAGCGGGATTCAAATAAGAAGGGTCTCAAGGGCTTGAAGTCTGAATGGGAGGAGTAAAGGTAGGACAAGATGGAGCCATATATGTGTATAATAATTCCTGCTCCATGGTGAGCCTGCCATTGAACATGATACTTGAATTTCATTCTCGTCTCGAATCAATCATAAACAAACACAAAAATCTACATTTGTGAATCATATATATCCCTCAATATAGCGGGCTTAACCGTATACCTCACTCTAGATCTTACCACCAGTGATCTTCTCCCAGGCCTCCTGGTACTTCTCCGCCGTCTTAAGGGCAATATCATCAGGCATGCGCACACCCTCCTTACCCTTGAGACCCTCACTGACCAACCAGTCACGCAGGAACTGCTTGTCGAAGCTAGCCTGGCCGCGTCCGACAGCGTAAGATTCCTTAGGCCAGAAGCGGGAGGAGTCAGGCGTCAGGACTTCATCAGCCAGGACGACCTCACCAGTTTCCTCATCGACTCCAAACTCAAACTTGGTATCGGCGATGATCACACCACGCTCGAGAGCGTACTCGTGTGCTGTCTTGTAGAGCTCAACGGCCATCTTGGCAACAGTTGAGGCGTAGGGTTCGCCCAGAATGGCGACAGCTGTAAGTGATGTGTTAGGTGGGGGTCTTGTCTCATGTATACTATACATCTGGTACTGATATATCAAGCCAACGGATTCGACGAAAAGAACATACCCTGATCCGGATGAATATTCTCATCGTGCTCTCCCTGCTCTGCCTTCGTGCTGGGGGTGTAGATAGGACCGTCGGGGAAGGCCTGGCTCTCCTGCAGACCGGCGGGGACCTTGATTCCATGCACGGTGCCGGACTTCTTGTATTCGTTCCATGCGGAGCCGGTGATGTATCCGCGGACAATTGCCTCAATGGGGAGAATGCGCAGCTTGCGCACTTGCATGCTGCGGTTCTGCAGGATTGGGCGGAGGGATTCCGGGATCTGGGGTGGGAGGTCGAGGGTGATGAAGTGGGTGCGGAGGGAGGGGATTGCCTCTGTCAGGGCCTTGAACCACGTTTGCGTGCAGAGAGTGAGGAGAACACCCTTGTTGGGGATACCCTATATTGAAGAAGGACTGGCATTAGCAAGCAGTCTTTAGGAAATTGTGGTGTTGGCGGGGGAATTGTATACATTCTCCATGATCACATCGTAGGCGGAGATGCGATCGCTCGCAACGAAGAGGAGGGTCTTATCGTCAATCTCATAGAGGTCGCGAACCTTGCCTCTGGCGATAAGGGGCAAGGCACCCTGCAAATCTGTGGTAGTCAGAGCCTGAGCCATTGTGAAATTGTTCAATTGGTGAGTTGCGGAGGAAAGTAGTTATGCGTCATCTTTTTTTTCCCGAGTACTGTCCCGCATTGCAGCCTTACAGCCTCAGGTGTCGATCAATTATCCCCAACACGCGCGCCCTTGGAACAATACCGTTGATAGAACACAGCAAGATGTGGCAGCTATAACGAAGACAAAATGACGCGTTATTTGACTCCCTGGAGAGTCTCTTTACTGTGTCTGGTCACACTCTACACTGAAGGCGTCGTGCCCAATTCTTCTGCTATTGACGTCCTCTCGTTCCTCACAGCGGGTCTGTTCCCACTAGATGCCGCCGATAAGCAATGGGAGGAGCATTACTTGCCGACAATTTCGGCGCTTGAAGAATGCCTGTCTCGCCATGAGTCCTCTGTTCCTGGGCGTACGCTCTGGGACTTGTTTCTGAAGAACCTCTGGTCCATCGACTCGCTGGATGCGCTGGAAACTTTCTTCGGCGAGGTTATCCCGTCACTCCTGGCTAAATCGCGCGAGGATTTGATCCATGAGAGAGATAATGGGATTGCACCAGTGGAGGATGATCGCATGCGTCTGTCCAGGAGTTCGCCGCTTGGCGTGTTCGTACGGAGAGCTTATCTTGAATATACGCGGCTGCAGTTTCACGACTCCGTGAAACTCTGGACGGGATTTGTCAAATACCGTCTACCCACTTACAGCTACTGGAGTCGTAGACATCGCGAAGCTGAAGAAGTCGCCGTTGATGTTAACCTACGCGACTTGGGACTAGACTCAACCAGCCACCTTTCACAGGTGGTGTATGGTAACATCGAAGATGACGAGGATGGGGAGGGAGAGGTCAGCGTCAAAGATGCAGAGCGACTGATCGAGTTCCAAGTCAGCGAGCTGCAAAGTATGCGTTTCTTTTCTGGCTTGTCATGCCCATGTGCTAACGGACACAGGAATGGGAGGCAGAGTTCCGGATGGAATGAGAGCTCAGTTGAAACGTATCATGACCTCAGAGGCTTCAGTCCCAGTAATGATGTATTACCTGGAGTACGTGTTGTATATATCATTATCGATGTACATTGGGATTAACAAAATTCCAGGTATCTTGACGCCTGGAGGGCTGGAGACTATACCTCAGCATTTGACAATCTCCACCGCTACTTTGACTACACCATGCACGCGACTCTTGACCGAAGTGCATATCAATTTGCACTTCTGAACCTGGCTATCATGCAAGCAGATTTTGAGTGTTTCAGTGAAGCTATTTCAGCCGTGCAAGAGGCTGTGGCAATTGCTCGCGAGTCTCACGATATGAACTGCCTGAACTTCTGCATGAGCTGGCTGTATCACTTCGGCAAAGCTTTCCCAGAGCAGATGCGGGAAGTTCAGAACAGTGGCATGTTGGGCAACGAAAAAGAGGGCCTCGCTTTCCTCAAGGCCAAGTCCAAGGAGACTGACATGTGGTCCCTGATGAGTACCACATTACTCAGCGAAGCTAAGTTAGAGATGCAGCAAGTAAGGATTCTCGTTTCCTTTTGACCAGGTTTATGCTAATGATAAACAGGGAGAGAGTCTTGCATCAATTGTCGAATCCTTCGTGCGAGCATCCCACGTCAATGTGACCAAGGGCGTTACTCCCACAGGTGCATACATGCTGTTGCAGGGCTCCATGTACGCCAGGATAGGTATGGCATTAAGTGTGTAGTAATTGCGATGGCGCTAATACAGCCGACAGGAGCTACTCACCTTGCTTGGCTGAATACCGAGATATTCCGCGAGTGCTATTCGGAAGGCCAACCTCATGATGACTTTGTCAAGATCACATTCCGAAATTGCCAAATAGTATGTCAGCTGGCTTTCTCTGGAAGTGTATAACAGAAATGCTGATTCATTACCTACAGTTGGCACAGAAAGGCAATTACAAGGAGGCATTTACACGGATGAATAAGATCGACCCAGAGAAGCTCCGATCTTTCAGATACAACAACGCCTGGACTTATTTTTCAGGGCTACTGCAATTACGACGACAAATATGTCGGCAAGTACTCCCGACTATATCACTTCTTACAGATCCGTTCCTAACAACCTACAGTGATGACAAGGTGGCCGTTGAACACATCCTATCCCAACTCCAAGCAGTACAACTACGAGACTTCGACATGCGCATGCTTCTAGCCTTCTATTCAATAGAATTCACTATGCGTCAAGGGGATTACGGTCGCGCCTTGAGAATGGTCGAGCAAGCCGCGCACTCCATGCAACCAGAGAACTTCGACATCCACTCCCAAATCAAGCTACTCTGTCTAAAAGCACAAATACTCGGCAAATCCGGTCAACCGCAACGGGGCTTCTCCCTCGCCATGCGCGCGGCCAGCATCGCGCATCGCTCAAAAGTCCTCGCCGACCTCTGGGAAGCCATCTGCACATTAGCCACAGTGTTACTGAGTCTCCGTGAATTCGAAGCCACAGGCGAACTAGTCGAGAGCGTCATGCCCCAGATCCTGGAGTCAGAGAACTACAGCCTCATCGCGCAGGCGTATTCACTTCTCGTGGACGCAAATATGGGCATGGCAGGTGAGCTATGGAGCTTGCAGGGGCGGGACTCGACGTCTACGAGAAAAGAGTACATTAACCGTGCTCTTGGGTATATTGATTCGGCGTATGATCACTTCGAGGAAATTGAGGATATCAAGGGCCAGACGGAGATGATGGCTAAGAAGGCTACTGTTATGCATCTTACGGGTGATCCGGTATTGGCTAATGATTATGCTGCCAAGTATCTGGATCTGCGGAGACTACGAACTGAATCATGAATACCTCCCAGAAACAATAATATACACTTACAAAATTGCCTTGTTCTCGTAATATAAGCAGATGACTGTTTAATAGGGTTACAGTATGACGGTGATATATTCTCTCCCTCGAGTTGCTCTCATCTCACTCAACTATCGTGAACTCGATCAAGTTACTAGCTGGAATAATAATCCCAGGTCTGCCTTCATTATCTTTCGGGTCTGTGACCCGTCCATAAATCCACACCACAGTATCTTCATGATCTTCAAAATCGCCCCAATTCCACCAGTCAAGTTTGCCTCCCTTATACCCATACCGGAACACATCACCAGGTGCTGCATTCTTCGGGAAATCACTCACCTCCCTCGTGAGCGAGCACGATTCACCCGGCCTTAGTGTCCGGAAACGATCCTGGCTATGACCAACATGGAACGGATCTGGAAAGAAGAATCGGTAAAGGTGGTGTGTGAGTAAACCACTAAGCTCATGTGGACTCCATCCGTCCTTTCCTCCAACATAGAGCCGGAATCCATCATTACGGTTATCCATATCCTCGAAAATGAATGTATGAAATATAACCGGTTTCCCGTCATCCGATGGACCAGGAGCTGTATCGTATGTGACGGTAACAGTGACTGGGTAGCGAAGTCTCCCTGAAACATTGCGGTCTTTCATCGATAGCGTAGCGGGCCCAGCGACGCTGACGCTGAACACCGGGGCGTCGCTCACCCTAGCAGATGGTGAAAGGGGTCTCGGCGAGGGGCCCGTTGCTATCTCATCTTCTATATCACTTTCGATATTGATGATTTCAAGTGACTGATGTGGTCCGCCAGGTAGTACCGCTGCAGGGAATTTTGGGACGAGTTGGTCATTATGCTCTGCTAATGTTCCCCAGTTCCACAAAGGAATTTGGCCGCCTGGCCAGAAGATTTCATACAAGTGGTCTTCAATGAATGAGTCCAAGTAGATAGACGGCAAGACCACTTCCCAGGAAACGGTGTCGCCTGGGGTAAGTTGCTGGAAACATGGATCTGATGCGGATACACCTCGTGGGTGGAGTTGCTTTGCGGATAATTGGCCGGGCTCGACCTGGATGGGTTGTATCTCGTTGGATTCATGGTGAAGTATCATTATACCTGACTGGCCAAATCCATCTTCGACGGGGTCCCAATGGATGATGCATGGTTCCCTTTGTGGATCATCTGAATCCCGTGTAATCTTGAAGGTCAAATAGTAGGAATCTATATAAACGGGATCAAGCTCTGGTTTTGCTTCGAAAGTAAGAGTCAGATGGGGAGATCCGGATCTGTTTGGTTTAGTTTGCTTTTTAGCTAGTTTCTTTGGGGATCATCGTACTGTCTATCTGTGGCAGAATATCTCGTGAGGGATGAGAGCTTCTCGTCCATTTGATCCGGAGACATTTGAAATTATCGGAATTATCATGGATAAGGAGAGGCAAACCCAAGGGATCGAGATTGAGGAAGTAGAAAAAGGAAGAAGAAAAACAAAAAAAAAAAAGTATGGTGATAGGGGTTGCGGGTAACTGTCAGCCGCTAAGAGGAGCAACCGTTGGCTAGCTACGCTGTACACAGGGGTCTATGCTGTACACAAATCATCTCTCGATCTGAATTGCTGATGTGTCTCAGTTCTGCCATTTTGGAATAATCTTAGTCTTCATATCTTCTTTTTTGCTGTGGAATGCATTTCAGACGCCTGTGAACCTTTGCATCTGGTCCTGACTCGACTAGATTAGTAAATGGACGTAGAAGAGAGAAAGATCGGCAAAGAAGAAATTATACCCCCACACCATCTACGGAAGCTTATATTAAACTTTCGAATGAGAGGGGAAATTTAGCCAGGGCTATTCCGGACAAATGTACTCCGTACAGCGATTTCTGTTCAATGCCGTTGCACCCGTTGCACCCGTTGTAAAAGCCCGTGAATCCACGGATGTATATTCAACATTATCCCTTGGGCTAATCCCTTTGCAGTTCCTAGTCAAGGTCTAGAGTTTAGTGCCGATATCAGACGGGAACTCCAAACAAAAGGCCAATAAAGTAAGATGGGCGAGATGCACTATTTGCCGTAGTTCCGAAGCAATGGACAAGCAGAGGTCCTTGCTAAACTTTAGTATATGAATTGTTTTTATTAATCTCACGCTTTTTGATATGCTTGGCCGTGTTTAGCCGAGATTACTTTGGGGATATATCGGATTGCGTGCGATTTTTGTTCTTTCTGGCGTGGGGTCCTCCATTCGTATCCGTCGCTCCACAGCCCTATTTCAAGCGTTTCCGCATTCGGCCGAGACAGTCTTTTACTTGGTAGAATTTACAATATATAGAGGTTCTTAGTGAGTTAGAATAGTAGAGAATGAATGAGTTGTGTTTATATTTAGGGGGTGTTTATAGGTATATCACTAATATCTTTGTAGATACCTAGATATCAACGTCTTTTTACCTCTTTTACCCTATCAGGACATCTATATAAGCCCCACCTGTTCGGAGTTAGGGTAGTTTTCCGGTCGAAAACCAAGTTCCGGGATAAAATCCGGAATTCGAAGTCTATCAAACATATTGAATGTCATATTTTCGGAGTTCTTTATAATTTATATGTTGTACTAATCTATACAAGTTGGACTATGTAGCCCTTAAAAAAATAATTATCTTTCATTTACTCCATAAACTCACCTCCATCCATAACTAAGCTCAACTACACAAAATGTTGAAACACCCATCTCCAACCTCATCGTCTCTAGAAAACAAACGGAGTCCCCTCCCCAACTCCAAAAGCTCAATAAAAACCAACCGCAAAAACCCCCCAACCTCCCCACAACTCACATCAACCCCAACCCCCAAACCCAAACCAAACAACCAAACAACCACTGAACCCCCAGCCCCTCCATTCCGCAGCGTCTCCGCCTGCAACAGATGTCGCCTCCGCAAACACCGCTGCGACCAACGCCTCCCTCGCTGTGAGTCATGCGAAAAAGCTCAAGTCCGCTGCGTGGGCTACGACCCCCTCACCAAACAAGAGGTACCACGCAGCTACGTAGCCTTCCTCGAAAGTCGCGTCAACTATCTCCACCAAGTCCTCATCGACCACGGCATCGGGTTCAAGCCCGCAATCGCCTATGATGAGGAAGAAGCGTTGAAAATGGAAGCTGGACAGTCGCCGAGGTTTGAATCTCGTGGGCTGAGAGATGCAAGAGAATTACCCGAGCAGATGCAAACGCAATCGCAATCGCAGATGGGCACGGGGATGGGGATGGGCGCACGGATGTCCCGTAAGAGGAAATTGACCCAGTATACCGAAGACGCAATCCCCACCAGACAGGTCAAGCGCTTGGCGCAGTTAAATGTCCTTCTTACGGAGTTGTTGACGGATGGATGTCAGCATCGGGAATGTTCCCGTGACCCAGCCAGGGGATATATGCGTGCTGCTCGTAGACATCGCGTGCAGGAGGATTCGCTTGAACAGAGATTGCCGTGGTCGCCACGGAGCTTTGATTCGATTGATCATAGTGATAGTCGCACGACGAGATCTGTGTCGCCGGTGTCATTGCATGAGCCATATCAATATCCTAGGACGGCTGCTGGGCGCGGTTCGTCACTGCTCAGTGCGGAAACTGTGTTGGAATCAGATCATGGGCGTGAAGTACATGACACAAAGAGACAGCCTGAGATTGAGATTGATTTGGGAGATTTCGAGTCTGAGATACCTAATATCGACCCTGTGGTTGGGGGTGGTGAAAAGAGAAAGACCCATGTTCGACGTTTGGATGTTTCGAGTCGTGTTTCGTCACCAGAGAGGGAGGGTTGTTCTAGTCCTGAGCCTAAGTTTGATATTGCTGCTGATCTTCTGCGGGGACGGAGGGAGAGGGAAAGGGCTAATTATGATTTGTTGGATGAGTTCCTTGTCGACTGGGCTGAGTGATTGTTCGTTCCTTTCCTGTGGGGGCGTGTATGTATATATGAATATAATTACCAGTCAGACTTGATTTGGAACATAGTGTGTTGAAGAAAATAAATCAAGTAATCCATTCTGTTAAGGCTAAACTCCGTATAAGAAAACCAAGTTCTTAATAACTATCACCAAATGCTAAAACGGAACGCAATATCAAAATATATCGTAAATCGTGTTAACTCTTCCCGACTTATCACCGGCCCTACACAGCAATCGCCGTTACCGTGGAGAGACCGGAACCCATGGCGTCCTTGAAAGTGTCGACTTCAGCACCGTAGTTGTGTCCACCCGTACGGAGAGCAACATTCTCCTGATCCTGGCTGACAGCAACCTCCGCAGGAAGATCGTGCTTCGCAGGCCAGATTTGGTGACCCACAGCCTCTTCTTTGGCATAGTGTTCTGTGACGACTTCGCGCACAGTCTTCTGGAAGTGAAGGGGACCCTTCTCCATCTCGGGATGAAGTTCACCGTTGACGAAGATACCAGCGTTGAGGTTCTTCTGCGAGTGCACGCACAGGTACTTGTCCTCAGACATGATTCGCTTGTACATGTCGCTGATGAGGTTGAAGGCCTCATCGGTGGCGTCCTTGTGGCGGTAGACTTCGTAGCGCATCACACATTGCGTCGGGCTGGTAGGAGTGAATCGCTGCATGAAGAAGAAGTTGGGACTAAGGATTCAATGTTAGCTTCTGATCAGAATCTACCAAGAAGGATAGTATATACTCACGAGATATTGAAAGAAGCGTTAGGCCAGAAATAGGTAGTTGCGATCCGGAATCCCTTCGCGATCTGGTCAGGTCGTGGGGCACCGTAGTGTTGGATGTGGCCGGCCTTGGTCTTGACATAGTAGGAGTTGAGGTCTGCGATAGTGGGGATATCGGGGTGAGCGACCTGGCAGTGATAGCACTCATTGTAGTTATCGGCTAGGATCTTCCAGTTGAATTCGCCCTCCATATCCCATGTGTGATCGAAGTTATAGTCCTCGAAGTTGTAGTGCTCGAACCGGGGCTGCTCGTCGACGCCCTCGAAGTCGTCTTTCCAGGCAACTTCGGGGGTCTCACTGGCGTCCAGATTCACCCAGACGAATCCATTTCGGTCAATGTGGACATGCGCGGGGAAGAGATCATTGCTGTGGAAAGCAGTGATGTCTCCATTGTTGTCTTTGGCGACGATGAACTCGTAGCCGGCGGCGTCGTAGCGGACACAGTCACCGGTGTTGGGGACGCGGTGCTTGTGTGTAGTAAGGAGCCATTTGCGGGAGAAGATAGATCGGCGTTCAAGCTCGTACATATCCTGGGATGTGTACCAAGAAGCGGGTAGAGCACGGATGGGTTTCTTTTCATCCTTCGCTGGGACAGCGGATGTACCGAAGAAGTTCCTCAAGAAGGACATGGTGAATACAAATTCGAAGAGATATCTTTGTAATTGAATCTGTAGTAATGATAGTTGCACTGTGAAGTTGCTATGGACTAAATTTGAACACGGCGACGTCTACGCTTCTAAATAGCCATCGCAATCGCAGCCAACTCACAAACCACGGGGCTTGGAACAATCTCTCCGAAGTATAACCCGGATCTCGACCTTTCGAAACCGAGTCCGGTGACATAGTTGGAGGCTGATTGAGTTCAGATTGCCATTTCTGGTGGGAGATATACCTGAACACCGATCAGGTGACCGGAAAACTATAAACCGGACCGAGTGGCTTGAAGCCTATCGAACACTTCTCTCGTTGAAAGGGATCCTGATGTGTGGCAAGACGGGCAGCTGATAAAGCCCCGAACCGTCAACGGTTCGGGGTAAATCCGACCCACGCCGGCGGTTTACACATACCTTAAATGGAAGTGTTTGCCAATATGACGGGGCTAGAAAACTGGGGTATGGGGAGAGCATCCATAAGTATCGCAGGACCTTCCATAAACCATTGGCAATGGCAAGGTAGATTCATTTCCGGAACCGCCGGCACCAGACTATGTTGCAGTAGTCACTCGAAGCAGGGGTTGAGATCCTTTTGCTTTTTGCAACATTTTCGGAGGTAAACATCGTTCACCATTTTGTTGCATGACTAAAACAGGAGTTCATCGACTGAACCTACTTGATTTGAAAGGATTCAGAAAGAGGAAGGATTGATTTGCCAATGGAAAGGATGTTTCAGGGAGAAACATTTGAACCTCCCAATATCCGCGAGTGGCGTATTTCGGCAACGAGAGGGGTCGAGACCAACAAAGAGCCAGTCTGGGAGCTAATGTGCGAGCTAGTAACGAATCCTTGTCTCTGATTAATATTAATATTATATTAATGAATATAAATTCCAATTCATTACGGAGACATGTCTCGACTTCGAACGATGAGTCAGTTCGCGTCAAGCTTTCCAAGAGTATGTTCCGTTCTGCATGAGCTCTAGACCAAGCAACGTCAGCAAAACAGCGATGATCCTGATAGTTCCCATCAGAGGTCGAAAGAACATGTCCGATAAAAGCGCCAAGTCAGAATAAATTGACGATCAATGCACTAGATAAGCAATCCAGCAAGGCAAACCTACGTAGACACGGCAAATGGTTATCAGGTCTCAATGCAGAAATTAATATAAATACATAAATACATACATATGTACTCCATACATACTCCATACGTATGTAGGTAATTTAGATCACCCGGTAACGCACCCCATCGGTCCGGTATTAAATCAGCGCTTAGAATGATTGGCTGAGAGGAGATCGAACGATCACCGACTATTTACGGAATATACACAGCCCCAGTGATAGGTCATTTTTTTTTAGAGTCGATCAACGTATATATTTTTCATGTCCGGAGTACTCCGTATAACAAAGATGCAATATGCAGTAGTAAATGGTACACCTGAAAGTCACAAAAGCTTGACGCCACTCTCCAAGGTGTAGATACATAGAACGCGCGACATAAAAAAAAACAAAGGCTTGCAATTGAAGCATGTGACACGTTAGCTATACAGACGGATTTCCAAAAATTCGCATGTGGGGAAATCGTAATTAGAACATAAACGAGTAGATGAATACCAAAATCGTGGCGACGGTGGCAACCGTATATTCGAGCTCGAACCAAGCGGCCTGGCCACCGAAGGCGATCTTTTTACTCTTCTTGGTCGGGTGTGCGACACCAGTCTTAGGGTCGCGGGTCAAAAGTTCCTCACGCTCTGGCATCCTGGGTGGGTCGATCGCATAGGAGACCGGGGTCCACAGCGAAGTGCAGATGAAGAGGAAGGTAAGCGGGGGCCAGAAAGCGTGAGTGATGAGGCAGAGGATGATATCTCGGAAGCCAGAGTTCTGCGCGAAGCAGCGGTAAGAGGAGATGACGACTCCGACGAGGGTGACGTAGACGAAGGCAAGGTGGAAGCTGGCCATGTAGTTAAGCAGGATCACGCGCAGACGGACGAACATGTTCTTAGACTTCTTTGGGTCGCGCTCGTTCAGAGCGGAGCCCAGAGAACCAGTTGGCTTGAAGGCCTGGGTTTGACCGCCCAGCCAGGTGGGCAGGATGAAGGAGCGCACAATGCAAAGAGCGATGTAGGGCGACATCCAAAGTTGATAGCGGGAGCCTCGTTGACCGGTGTGGTAGCCGGCAGGGATGAACAGGGCCATCTCGCAGAGACGGTTGGAGATGGTTGCAGCGAAACAGGCCCAGATCAGCCAGCGGAGTTGCTCTTCAGTCGCGAAGGCGACCAGACGCTTGCCCCACAAGAGGATGATCGGGATAGCAAAGAGGGAAAGGGTCAGCAGGAGGGTGTAGACACTGAGGGTTGCGTAGAGGAAGCCAGAGAAACGCTGAGCGAAGGACATCTGTCGAACGGCATCACCCCAGAGGCAGAACTTCAGCTTGACAGCTGTGTCGACTGTTCCAATTGCCCATCGCGTACGCTGCTTGAGATGCCCACCAAAGTCTTCTGGCACGGTACCAAATTGAAGAGCCTCGTGAATGTAAGCGGTTCTCCATCCTCTGCCAAGCATGAGTGTTGAGGTCGCGACATCTTCAGCCAAAGAACCAAGCGGGAAGTTGCCAATCTCTTCGAGAGCCTCGCGTCGAACAACGTAACCGGATCCAGTACACCAAGCCACACCGAGTGCATCCTTGATCGGCTCAATAACATGCACAAAGAAATCCAGACTCTGGGCAAGCGGATCGGATGCAGGGGTGTTGTAGAAAAGCTGCGGCGGGCATGCAAGGGCCATTTTGGGATCCACCAGCAAGTGGGGTAGGATCGCGCGAAGCCAGTCTTGTTCGGGAATCTACAGATTGTCAGTCAGTATATAAATTTCAATTTCAATGTGGGCTGGGTATTTGGTAATTTACCATATCAGCATCCAGGGCGGCCATGAACTGGCCGGCGCCTCCAGGCAAAAGGTTGACTTGATCCAGACCGTAGTTCAGGTTACCTGCCTTGAAGTGGTGGGGCTTTCCGGGGATCTTTTCACGAGCCATGTAAATGACATTGGGGTGATTCACGGCGAGTTCGTTGCAGGCTGCCTCAAGGGTGGCGGACTTGGCGTCATCTAGAATGATGACCCTCATCTTGTCGCGGGGGTAGTCCTGGTCACACGCACCACGGACGGTATCGATAACAACATCGTCGTCCTCTCCACAGCAAGTGATAAACACATCCACCGTAGGACATTCATTACCGGTCAATCTTAGCTTGGCACGGCCTCTCTTCTTCAAAGCCATCATGGTCCAGCAGTTGTGCATGAGGGAGGGGATCGCAACAGTAATTTCGATGGCCACAAAGACCCAAGCTCCAGCGTATGAGACGCGAGCAATGTTTTGAGCCATAATAATGCAATAGATTCTCAGGCCAAGGTAGAACATGTAGATTCCGGTGTTGGCCAATGTGAGAAATGGTACCAGGAAAAATACCCATCTCTTCCACCCTTTCCATGTTTCGGCATCATCGCGGTCGTGAATGCGAGCAATGGATCCGGATTTGACCCAATCCTTTTCAAATGCTGGAGGAGCAGGTGAGGTCACTAGGGGAGCTAGACTCTGGTGACTTTCCTGGACTCCATTGTTTTGGTACTGTACGGGTGAGAACTTGTTAGGCCGTGATCTATACCGAGGATAAAGAGCACAAAGAAAAGGTCGGTACTAACTAAAGTTGGTGAAGCCGACCGAGAGTCATACGGCGTCCGCGAGTCCCAATCAGAGTGGCCCGACATTCTAGCGGTAGGTTGAAGCCAAACAGGTTGGCCGTACTCATCCGTAGGGAAATGACCCGGTCTGATTGGAGTAAGAGGTCTTGGAGAGGCCGGTGAGGGCGAGAAAGCCTCTGGATGTTCAAAGCTGCTGTTTGGATGGAAGCCGTTTCGATAGGTATTCAGCTCTACCTTTTCGTCCTGGTCGTCAGGACCATAACGTCTGTCCATCTCGAGACGAAAGGTTATAGATTATGTAAAGTTAAAAGATGAGGAATGTGGGATATTGAGAACGTTTGAGTACGTTGAAAACGAGTGTGATCAGCCCAAAGAGCTGGAATGGAAGGATGGAAGAGAAAAAGTCTCACATTCCTGGAGTATTTTAGCGTACGGTACCGGCGATCTCAAAGGGACCAGATGGTTAAGCCCTGAGGCTAGTGCGGCCAAGGACCGAGGGTGCATGACCGTTTTTGGATAGTCGCGAGCAAAAATAGATTTTTCCCATGTTTTTCTCAATTTTTTTTCAACGTAATGTTTCACTTCCAACAGTGGTTTCTTACGCAATGCGTCTGACTGGGTTAATATTTTCTGGTTGCAGCAAGCGGGTCTTGGTCCTGGTCCTGGTCTTGTCTTGTTTTTATTTATTTATATTTTATATTTTAGTATATTTCCGTAATATTACACAATTCCCATTTCCGTTTCCCAAGGTTCTACTTAAATTGCCACCTAATCGGACCAATCATAATATATCAATAAATGAAAGTTTCCTTTCGGATACAAGATGTGGTTCAGTACCTGATCTGTACCTGAATTCTCGTATTGCTCTGCATGAATGCATACGTTGTACTCCCGTACATGAGCACACCATTACCACGCTAACCTTCCTTTCAACGAAAGACCCCCCACTCAGAACCCTGTTCTTATCAACAAGACTTGTATGGTCAACGCTTAGTTTCCATCTGATCGTCCTAAACATACTAACCCGATGCATCTCCCCCAATCCACCCATCCGCCCACCCACATATTGTGTGGGATGTGATACCGAGATTTCGCCTTTGCTATTCGCTGTTCAACTTGCTAGTCATTTTTTCTTTTTTTTCTTTCTTTTTTCCCCCATCTTCGAGCTGCTTATCATTTTCACTTGCTCACTATCGTTGATTTCTTTGCTTTATAGCTGCGTTTGATCATGGTCTTTGGAATAGGACTGATCGTCAACGCGGTCCTTGTGGCCATCCCAGTCGGGGGAAGCGTTGGAGCTCTTATGGGAATTGATGCCCACCGAGCCGCTACGGGCCAGAAGCCTCTATTCACCGGGGGGACCAATAATGATGGCACCGACTCTGGCAGCAGCGGCAGCGACAGCACTGGCAGTGGCGGCGGTCATGACACTGTCACGAACAACGGCGTGCAGAACACCCAATACTGCGAACTGTCTTGGGGAATAACTCCACCGTCAAAGACCGAGCAATACACCCGTGAGTACCATCGAACTACCAGCCCAGGTGCTGTTGACCCCTGAACAACGACTAACCGAGACTATAGTGAACCCCAATCAATGGGGTGTGACAGCAGATACGACAGGAAACGGGCTGTGCATGAATGTATGCATTGAACATAAACCCATCTATACTTTTCTCTGAGGGCGTACTAATATGGCATCTTAACTTAGGTCACAACGTTGGTCAATCAGACTTATGCAGCCCAGACTGCTCCCGAGTTCTCCATCACCTGGCAATTCGACCCTGGCCCACAGACCGCGCCTGTCCACGGATACCCGAATATTCGCGTCGACGATGTGTTGCCAAAGGAGATGGATAAGATCTCAGAGTTGTATCTTGACCTGCATTGGACATATGGACTGGGTGACACCACTGCCGCATCAACAGATGTACAAGCCTTGGCAAACGCAAACCTTGCCACAAACGTCGCCATTGATATGTTCTTGGACACCGATGCCGACAAGGCTAAGAATGGAACTCAGGCAAAATTCGAGGTCATGGTTTGGTTCTGGATGTCAAACGAGGAGGCCCAGCCTCATGGATGGGGGAGTCCAGGAATCAACAGGACCGTGTCAGGAACAACATTGTGAGTTGAAAGTTGAACTTGTTTTGTAACTGACATATTTCTGCATATGCTAACATTCATTTTCATCAGCACACTTTACGAGGGAACGAATGACAACGGACAGTATGTTTTGTCCTGGGTCCCCGAAACGATCGTTGAGAAGTTCACTGGAGACATTTACCCTCTCATTACCGATCTGTACAACTTGGAAGGAAGCTCCTACCCAGCTAAGGACGACTACCTCGGCAGTCTCAGTTTCGGAACAGAAGCCTACTCCGTGAACAAAAATGTCACATTCTGGGCCGAGCAGTACAAGATCGACATCAAGAGCTGAGGATGAAGGAGTATAAGTATATTGTATGATTATGAGCATGTATTTTCCGGCATTTTCTATTCACATATTCACGTCACCACACATCAAGCGTTCCACATGTCAGTTCTCAAATTTCATCTTCATTGTCTTATCTTTGATACTTAAGTTCGATACTTAAGCTCGGGTTACTCCGGCCCTAGTCAATTATTTGCCAAGCCTTCAACCCCTGAAAATGAGGACGAATTATCACACTCTTCCAAATCTCTTTTTACATTATGAATCCAATTATTCGAGATAAGCTAGTTTCAATGTCCCGAGCTCAGCTACCCGTAATGAGTACGCGCGCATATCAAACTCGGCCAGTTTCCGAGATTCGTGATTTCTCCGCAATATGAAGCCGCAGGTGCAGGTATGCGCAGATGACACCATCAGACGTGATAATCGTCGCATCTTTCATTATCGAGCCTTGCAACTAGCCAGCAGAACATACAAGAAATATAAGAGAATACCCACAAGCAATGGATGATCACCACCGTATAGACACTGGGTTAACTCTAGATTATCGCTTCTAGCTGTCCATCCTGTACGAGCTTCAAGTGACCCAAACGCTCGAATATGGAGCATTCACACGCAATTGATACTAAGTCGATTCATGAAGTATCCGATCATGAAGTACAATCCAATCCCGATTCACCAGATGGGTTATGGCTCCGATTCCTTACCTATGCCAAATGGTACCCGAAGGACATGTCCCACCCAGAGAAAAAGCTTGTCCTCAAACTAGATATCATGATCTTAATCTTTGGCTGCCTTTCATTTTTCACCAAATACCTTGACCAGCAGGCGATCACCAATGCCTATGTATCGTATGTCGACACTATCCTTAGTCTAGCAGACAACTCCGGTTACTAACAACCTATCATAGAGGCATGAAAGAAGACCTTAATCTGCATGGTAATGAATTAAACTACATAACAGCGGTATTCTGGGCCTCGTATTGCACCTCTATGATACCAGCCTGCTACTGGTTAACGCGCACGCGGATCAACATCGCGCTGCCAACCCTGGAAATCGGATGGGGACTGTTCACATTCGGCTGTGCTTGGGCGCAGAATCTAAATACGATATACGCAATGCGCTTCTTCATCGGGATCTGCGAGTCTTGCTCCTTCACTGGCGTCATTTATGTCATCGGTTCGTGGTATAAACCTGGCGAGGTGACGCGTCGGGTTGCGCTTTTCTTTGTCGCTTCTCCACTTGGGACTATGTTCGCGGGCTATTTGCAAGCTGCTGCGTATACAAATTTGGAAGGGAAGCATGGATTGCCTGGATGGAGGTATTTGATTCTAATTATATATTAAAGATTTTGATGTTCTTGGCACTGACCCGTTGGTAGATGGTTATTCATTATTTGCACCATCATCACAATTCCTATTTGCATTCTGTAAGTCAGATCCTCTCTCGGGGCTATTCAATTGTGCATTTATCTAACACAGACCAGCGGATATATAATTTTCCCAGATGTTCCTCATCGCTCAAAGCCACGGTTCCTAACAGCGGCCGAGCATGATATTGCGAACATTCGTCTGAAAGGTCTAACAGCACCAAGCGAACTAAAAGTCTCCCGGGCCATCTTCAAGCGGGTCTTCGGGCGATGGCATTGGTATGTCTTTGTCGTGCATTGGACCTTAATGGACCAGAACTTCACGCCATACTCGACGCCCTTTAGTCTATATCTGAAGGCTAAACCAGAAATCTACTCCGTCTCTCGGGTGAACACATTACCGACGATCGCAACAGCGCTGTCTGTGGTAGCAGCGCTAGTAGCGGGCGTTACCGCAGATCGTCTGCGGAATTTCTGGATTCCTTCCGTGGCGACCAGCATTCCTGTCCTGATTGGTGTGATTTTACTTGTTGTCTACAATGTTGGAGAAACGGGACGGCTAGTCGGGTTTATCCTCACAGGATTCGAAGGCGGTATGTGGATTCTGAATACAGCACACAGGCTCTCTGGTCTTATTTGTTATTTCTGTGTTTAAAAAAATGACTTGGATATTGACTTTCATCACAGCAATTAGTCCGCTCAGTATGAGTTGGGCGACTATCACCATGGCCAATGATGCTGAGGAACGCGCTATCGTCACGGCAAGCATGAATGCGATCGGCCAGGCCATGGCAGCATGGACACAGATCTTTCAGTATCCGGCTACTTCTGCCCCGTACTTTCGAGCAGGATTCACCTCGAATCTGGTCACTACTATCGCACAATTCTTGAGTGTTGGCTTGATCGCCTTTCTGGTGCATCGGGACACGCGAAAGGAGCGGTTGTCTTCGAGTGTGTGAGTATTTACTTGCTTCATTATATATGTATATATATATATATATATGGTAGTACATATATTCTAGTTGGAAACCACACAACATTGTGCCATTTGTTTAGGGTTATTAACCTGTGGAAATGCCGAAGCTAGTCAGAACGTGGTGAGAACGTGGCGTTGTCCAAAGTTTTCCATCTGCCGCCTTTTCTATGTCTTGGCATCAAGCACGACATCCCGGGGACCCACCTTTAATCTAAATTTTTTAAGCAATATATCTTCTCTAATCCCTGTTCTTTCTTCTTTATATTATTCTACTATCTTTAATATATACAAACGGGTCTCTTGAGAGGGCATAGATTTGACCATGGCCCCTCCCATTGAGCCAGAAGTTACTTCTGAGACCCACGATGTCTCTCAGACTATCACACGGCCTCGGTCGTCTTGGTACCGCTCGATTCCCTTCCAAATTGCCGTTGCTAGTGGTGTCTCATTCACCGCACCTGGAATGTGGGATGCACTGAACAACCTCGGAGCAGGTGGTGCAGCTGAGCCTTACGCCGTCTCCGCGGCGAATGCTCTGGTCTACGGATTGTTTGCCATTGTTTGTGTCGCTGCCGGTGCAATCAACAACCGTATTGGTCTTCGGTACGGTCTGGTTCTTGGTGCGATCGGTTACCCGATCTACGGTGCCGGTCTGTACACTAACAACTACCACCCCACGACATGGTTCCTGCTCTTCGGCTCCGCGCTGTGTGGTATCTCAGCCGGGTTTTTCTGGGCTGCTGAGGCCGCAATTATCATTGGTTATCCTAGTCCCAAGGAACGCGCTTTCTACATTGCTATCTGGCAGACTGCCAAGTCTTCCGGTCCGATTGTTGGCGGTGCAATTAGTCTGGGACTGAATGCACAGAGCTCCAAAAAGGGAACGGTCAGCGCCTCGACTTACATTGTCTTCATTGTCATCATGTGTCTCGGTCTGCCGATTTCTCTCCTGCTCAGTCCCGCCGAGAAGGTGCAGCGCAAGGACCACTCTCTTGTGATTGTCGACAAGAAAGAAACCTGGGCCAAGGAGTTCAAGGCTGCCTTCGCTCTGATCTTCACTCGTCGCGTCCTTCTCCTCCTCCCAGCCTTCTTCATCAGTTACTTCTACAACGGCTTCCAGAGCACATTCCTGACCACATACTTCACCGTCCGATCTCGCGCATTCTCATCGTTCCTCACCAACTTCGCCGGAATCGCGTCTTCATTCATCTGGGCCGCCCTACTCGATCGCCAATCCATCTTCATCAAGACCCGCGCCAGAATCGCTTTCTGCTCCATCATTTTCCTGGTCATCGGCACCTGGATTTGGGCTACCATCCTGCAGAAGCAGTACTACGACGCACCCGAGCCCCCGATGTTCGACTGGTTCACCAGCGGTTTCAACAAGGCCTACGCGCTCGTCTTCTTCTGGAACTTCAGTGGTCAGGCCTTCCAGCAATTCCTCTACTGGCTGGTTGGTCAGTACAGCACCGACATCTCATCTTTGTCCTACCACTGCGGAATCCTGCGTGGATTCGAGGCTCTGGGACAAACCGTTGCATGGGCCATGCAGACCGAAGGCGGTGCCAACCACTTCGTCAGCATCGGCCTCAACTTTGGAATCACTGTTCTTGCCTTCGTCCCCACGTGGATTGTTCTGTCTGAATTGGAACACAGCCACGAGGTGCAGGTCACCGTGGAGGACGTCGCGTCCAAGACAGTCGGCGAGTCAACAGCCTGATCTCGCCACTCGAATTGAGTCATTTGATTCTTCGATTTGCATGGTTCTCCGGATTCAACCCGGGAACCCACGTTATTATTTTAATGATAGATAAGATACCCCCACATGCTCTCACTCAACGCCGAGCATTATGTATAAAAATGTTATAGAACTATAGAACCTTTCCACAGTCAAAACTGGGAAATGGTCCTCAGCCGATTGGCTATTTTTATTTGAACTTTCTCCAAGAACTTCTGTAGCGTACTCATTATTAAATTGGTATCACATTTAAGTTGATATTAGGAAGACTATTGTGAGAAAGCTCTGATGTATTCTGGGGCATTATTTTTAGATGTCTTTTAGATATATGAGAAGACGGCCAAAAGCGTAAATATATATATAACCAAGGATACATTCTACATATGGCAGTCGATCCAACCAGATGGCGGGTCCCTTCGAGACCATCCAAGAAGGTTTGGATTAACTTTGGGGCCAAAAAGCCACCAACGTTGCCTGCATTAGGGTTTGACCGGGGTATGCGCCCTGTGAAGTGACATCTACATCCGTCTTGCTTTCAGATGCTACTGGTAGTTTGATAGGCAATTCTATTATTCTAGTGGTCACACTGACCGGGTGGAACTTGAGCTTTACGCAGCGTCTCATTTTACAACGCTGTTTCGTTGAGTCGATCAGATATGTCGTCAAGTCAATATTGAACTTTGGGCACTTGGTGATGGGCTTTGATTGGTTGGGGGATTTACTATCGGCTGCCGTAATTCTCCGGGGTCCGGTAGTCTAAAGTGACCCTAACTCAAAAGGCTCAAGGTTCCCCATTGTTTACAACTGCCGGCCTTGTTGACCATCTATATAAGTCCGATGCTCACTGATGGAGGCTCAATCACCCAATTCGCCTGGTGCAGCGATAATTCCCCATCGAATCGGCCAGGCTTGGTATGTGATGTATCAGATCGTGATCTAGATGAGTGCTAATTGGCCTTTAGTGATCGTTGTAGGAGGTAAAACATACTCATATTCTTTATGCAGTAAGTCAGTTGCTAAAAGTTGAGGGAATGTAGAAAAAAAATCAAATGTGATGGGGTTTTTCCATCGGTATGGATTGCTATCCCTGTATTTTCGAAGTGGAATTAACACACTTGCGTAGTGTCGGGGTTGTGAGAAGGCAGGACTAGTCTGTGAGGTTTCTGCTACACTCAGGAGACAAACTAAAGTGCGAGGGTACGTAATTACCCACTGGCCCATTTCTATCTCTGGAAATATCTAACTATTCTCTAGATTCACCTCGGATGAACAACGACTAGAGCAGCTTCAGGCCGAGTTGACAAGATGCCAACAAAAGCTCAAAGCAGAGCAAGATCGAAACGAAGCTCTTCAACAGGAGTTATCGCGCCAAGAACAGCCCATGCTTCCACACAATCCAGAAATAACCACAAGCTTAGTCGAGCCTTCAGTCCCAGTTCAGGCTGAGAGACGTCCAGCTGCCGACCCAACATATGTTATCAAGCATATGGGTCGATTGGTTCATGATGAAAAGGGTGTTGGTCGCTTTGCGGGCTCAACGACCGGTGTTCATTTTGTTTTGACTGTTGAACAAGAATGTCAAAAAGCGCTCAATCTTTCCGGCGTGTTTCCCGAAAGCTGCTTTCGCCTTTTTTTGGCTGAACCCTCTCCCAATAGGGAATTTTCTCTGGCCACAGGCTCTTGGAATGATCAAATGATCAGACAGTGTCTGACTTATCCGTTAACACATTACTGCCAGCAAGCAGATGCTTTCATCCAAAAATGGGAAGCATTCTGTCCTGTTCTTGTAAAAAAACAACTCATGGCAGATATACGGGGTTTGATGAACACAATATATAATCCAAGTGGTCACGGTGCTATTGATTACTCTACTACATTGATATTGCTTATGATCTTGAACATTCATGAATCTACTGCCGATACCACCCACCAACATCATGAGCGGAGTCTGGATTCTCTCAAGAGACTTTCTTTGGCCCATAGCTTGGTTGATAAAGTTGTCGGTGAAGGAAATCTCAAGGCTCTGCAGGCTTTATCGCTTTTTGCACTTTACAATCAACTAAGTGGCCACTGTCTGACTCTTACAACCCTCAACGGCATGATTGTCAGCCTTGCTCAGTCTTTAGGCCTCCATAGACACGCTAGGAGATTCAAAATGGGAGTTGGTGAAGTTGAGCTTCGGAAGCGCTTGTGGTGGTGGGTTTATGTGTTTGACAGGTAAGCTCCTTGTGCACAATGAACTTGCATCCATGCTGATCATCTAGATTTACTTCTATTCTTCACGGACTACCTCCCCTGATCAACGACGTCGACGTTGATAATGACCTGCCTATTGATTGTCATCTGAATGACTTAGAGGTCACCGAGCTTTCTCATCCCTTGCCCGGGGAAAGAACCGCAGTATTTGTGTTCTTGCAATACGTGAGCCTTGGTAAAAAGCTCTCAAGAATCCTTGATCTTCTATATACAACGACACAACGACGTGATGGTGCAAGGAAAATTACGGACTTGGACCGTGATCTCCGAGTGTGGAATCAAAATCTCAAAGCAAATGGTATCCTTTTTGATATTGGGATTACCGGTCTGCAGCATTCATCCGATGGTACCAACCATTCCTATGAGAGCACAACTATATGGCTCGAACTCATGGCGAACATAACTATGACTTTAATACATCGCCCCGGCCTTTCATTCGACGATACAACACCAGAGTTTGGCAATTGTCTCAGGGCATGTCTCGATTCGGGCAGTGCCATCTTGTCGTTGCTTGAAATGTCCAACATCCCGAAGTGGCTTCGGAATCTGAGTCTGGTCGGACCGGCTACAATTTTTCAATCTGCCCTCGTTCACATCTATTCTCAACTCAAATATCGCACGTTTAAGCCAGATGGCTTCCCATCGCTTGATACTAGCATGGGCATGGTTTCGAAAGGAATCTCCATTTTGACAATGGAGAGTTCCCGGGCCACTCAAGCGCAGGGAGCTTTTTACTCTGAATCTGTCAGTGAGATTATTAAAACTTTGCAAACGTTACTCTCGTCACTGCCAGTTGCGCAAGGCTTGGTGGAGACTCCTCATGTGGTGAACGATGGTGTTCCTGTTAGTGATGCGCCCGACACTTTTGACGAACAAACCTGGAGTGGCAACGCATTGGACTCTTTGAACTATATGACGGCTTCTGACTGGATGGGTGATCCATCAGGCCCGTTCATGGGATTCATGGATTTGGGCGAGTCGTAATCGGAGATGGCCCGACCAGTTGCTTAGGGCCGGAATAAGGGCCTTATTCCGAGCCTCCTAGCCCTATACCGAGATCGAGCCTTTCATTGTTTCTCTATTCCGCTGCGATGCATTGCATGACCCCGGATCCTGCAAGCCAAGCCTATCATTCTCTATTTAATGGCCGCAATCCGGGGCCCCAGATTTCGATGCATCATCCGGACTCCTTTCTTCTTTCGAGCTTTTGTCTACTCTACGAATTTGGCTACCTTCCACATTCCATCCCCAAAATACATCACTCGAGATGACTTCGAGGTTTTGGAATCTTCGAGGAGAGGCGTTGTCTCTTGCTCAAATTCTTTTGGTTGTTTGCCCAGCATACACCCTTTTCGGATATAATCAGTCGGGACTCGGAAGCCTTGTTTCACTCTCAGACTGGGTCAAACACTTCCCGGCCATCGACACCGTCAACACCGAAGGTGCCGAGGCTAGTCACAATGCGACAATCCAAGGCGTGGTGATAGCAACATTCACCTTGGGCGCACTGCCCGGCTGTCTGTCCTGCTCATACACTGCCGACAAATTCGGCCGACGTCCAGTGATTTTTATGGGCGGCCTACTTGCATTAATCGGCCAAGTGCTAGAAGCATCATCTTATCAACTGGCGCAGATGGTCGTGGGTCGTACTGTGCTTGGGGCGGGAATTGGCATGCTGAGCGGAACAGTCCCAACCTGGCAAAGCGAGTGCTCCAGCTCCAAAAACAGGGGTAAACACATAGTGCTTGACGGTCTTTTCATCGCGCTCGGGTACATGCTGCAAGCATGGATCAACTTTGGATTCTATCAGTTCAAAACAGGACCTGTCACCTGGCGAGCTCCAATCGCAATTCCCATCGTCTTCGCCATCGTCCTCCTCATATCGATCGTCTTCCTTCCTGAATCTCCTCGATGGCTTGTGCGTCAGAATCGTGTTGCGGAGGCTCGGAATATACTCGCTTCTTTGAGAGATCTTCCCGAGGATGCATCTGAGATATCGGGGGAAATCGCCGGTATTGAAAGTTCCCTTGAAGAGACCGCACAAAGTGCAGCGTCTCTTAAAGATCTTCTCAAAATGGGAGATGATCGTCTGCTGTATCGTTTCTCTATCTGCATCCTACTCCAATTTTTCCAACAGATGTCAGGCGGGAATTTGATCTCAGTCTACTCTTCGGTGATCTTTGAGCAAGGTTTAGGGCTGGATGCTGAGACTGCTCGGATTCTCTCCGGTGGTACACTTACATGGAAGTTCCTCTCGTGCTTTGTATCCTTCTTTACCATTGACAGATTTGGTCGTCGCATCGCTTTGATGGTGAGCGGAGGTGGAATGGCTAGCTGCATGCTGGGTCTGGCGATTGCGACGTCTTTCCCCCATTCCAATTATGCCGCACAGATCATCAGTGTCCTTTTCGTCTTCCTTTTCAATTTCTTCATTCCGATTGGTTTCCTTGGTGCCAACTTCCTTTATTGTACGGAGGTGGCGCCTATTCGTCTTCGCGTTGCCATGTCGAGTATTTCTACTGCGAATCATTGGCTTTGGTATGCACACTCCTTTATTCAAGGGAAATGTTTCACCAAACAAATTTCTAACTTTCATGACAGGAACTTCGTGGTTACTATGATTACTCCAGTCGCAATAAAAACAATTGGGTATAAGTACTACATTGTTTATACGTGCATTGGGGCATTCGTCCCTATAACCGTCTATTTCTTGTACCCTGAGGTGAGTTTCCGTGATTTGTTGTCAAACATGAGCTATTTACTAATAATCTTCAGACTATGGGACGGTCTCTAGAGGAGATTGACATCATCTTCCGCGAGAGTCCATCGGTGTGGTCTACTGTTCGATTTGCCAATAACCGACCACTTGAGACCATGCCCGAACTTCCCCGAGGCACTCAAGAGAAAGGTGAAGTGGAGCATGAAGAGTACTCTACCAGGTCTCTGAGCAAGTGAAGTGTGAAGTCTGGTTCATCTTGCTTTACGAATCAAATAACATATGGCCTTTGCGTCTTTTGTTGCTGTAATCCAGCTTTGGGGTAGATAGTAGTCAATCAATTACAATATCTGCCAAAATACATACAGTTTATAAAAATACATGTGTACAATGAATAAATCTTGCTTATATATTCAGCGGCTGCTCTTCAGTATCTTGTCTGTAGGGTCGTTCCATCATGTTGCATATATATATTTTTTTCACCCGGGTATGACAGAGTCCAAACCAAATCCTATAAATTGCATACAAACAAGAATGAAATTACCAAGTTCATCTAAGAGTCTATACCCCGTGAACCGATCATGTATGGCACCGGACTATGCCCGGGGTATGCTCCACCAGACCTTCGGAATAAGAGCCTATTCCGAAGCGATCAAACCATCCTACCAACTCCGCATGAGGGGGAAATAAAACTTGAGACAAAATATTTAAAGACAAACCAATCCATTCAATTACTCGTTCGCTCATTGTACTTATCCTGATACCAAAAACACTCGAATACCTTCAACATGGCCGTCTCCGCCCTCGACTCTCGCATTTTCCGCAACTTATTCGGAACACAAGAAATCCGCGACATCTTCACAGATGAGGCATATGTGCAGTCCCTAATCGAAGTCGAAGCCGCATTGGCGCGCGCTGAAGCAACAGTCGGTGTGATTCCCGCCGAAGCAGGAAAGGCAATTACCGATGCTTTTGCAAGCCTTCAGATCGAGTATGTCGCAAACATGTGTATCACCGAAATATTACAGAATAGATACTAATCCTTGAATTCTAGTTATGAGCGTCTAGCAATCGAAACCGATATTGTCGGATACCCTGTTCTCCCATTAGTTCGGCAATTGGTCGAAGGTACGCCCGACGAGATGGCCAAGTATATTCACTGGGGAGCGACGACACAAGATATCCAAGACGATGCTTCCATGCTTCAGATCAAGCGCGGTGTCAGTCTGGTAAAAAGAGAACTCGAGATTCTGAAGGGGGTTCTGAAGGGTCTTGCAGTCACCCATCGTGATACGTGAGTTCTCCTTCCTGGCCTTCTAAACATGAACACTAATGATAAATTCCAGTCCAATGGCAGGTCGAACACATTTGCAACACGCTCTACCTTGTACATTTGGATATAAATGTGCAGTCTACCTCTCCAGCATTCTCAGACACTTAGAACGAATCGAGGAGATCGAGCAGCGGTGTCTGCTTGTCCAGTTCGGTGGTGCAGCGGGCACAATCGCCGCACTGGGTGCAGATGATACCGGGCTTCGTGTTCGTGAGCAGCTTGCCACCGAGCTTGGATTGAAGAATCCAGATATCACTTGGCATGTTGCGCGGGATAATATAGCGGAGATCCTCAACTTCCTCGCTCTTGTGGGTGGTACATTGGGGAAGATTGCATTAGATGTGATGATTATGTCTTCCAATGAGTTCGACGAGGTCTCGGAGCCCTTTGTGCCTCATAGGGGTGCCTCGTCCACGATGCCACAGAAGCGTAATCCTATCTCCAGTGAGGTGATTCTGGCTGCGTCAAAGATGTTGCGTGCCAATGCGTCACTGGGGTTAGATGCCATGGTTACCGACTTTGAGCGTGCCTCTGGACCGTGGCATTTGGAATGGGTGGCTATTCCCGATGCGTTTGTGACTGCAGTGGGTGCTTTGCATCAGACGAATTTCGCTCTTGGGGGGTTGGTGGTTAAGGTAGACTCGATGAGACGCAATTTGTATTCTACCAAGGGGTTGATTGTGGGTGAGGCGGTGATGATGGGACTGGCACCACATTTGGGACGACAGGGAGCTCATGATTTGGTTTATGAGGCTTGCAAGTCTGCTATTGAACAGAATCGGACTCTGCTTGAGGTTCTTGAGGAGATTCCTTCCTTGGCTGGGATTACGACGCCGGAACAGCTAGCTGCTTTCTGTGACCCGCTGAAATATATGGGAGCTAGCCAGTTGATGGTCGATGGGATGGTGAGGCGTGCAGTTTAGTCAGTTCTGCGATCAATAGATATGTAAATAAACCTAGGGATAGATGGAGATGTACAGTCAACGAGAATGATGCTCGGGTCTTTTAAAAAAGCAGCCTTAATTGTAGGAGGGAATGGACTAAGGGAGATTCTCCGACTCCCTGTGATCTTCGGCAATATACTCATCAACGCTTCTACCGCGCGGCAGACGTTTGTATTTCCCCGTGACCAGGGCCTTCCATTCCAGGGTTTGTGGAATGAATTGGTAAAGTGGATGCCAAGCGCAATATTCCTACGAATGCTATTTCCCTCTCTTGCGTCAGTAGCTGCGCGTTGTCACTCATCAACATCGGGTCCAAGGCTAAGTGTTGGTCCATGTGTGTTCACAAGAATCAGGACTAGAACTCCGTAGAGATGGCGGATATTCGGGAGTTCGATTTAAATTTGTTTCAAGATAAAACATACTCCGTAATCCGTACTCCGTATATAGAATACATATCAAGACTTTATGTGGCTGGGGCCTGTTCATAACGTATATACTCTGTACACCAATCAGAATAAGCGAGGGGCCCGCATCCCAACCTCACCACATTGAAATCTTCGGCTTCGGAAAGTCAAGGTTAATACGGAGTATAACATACATGTCTACTCCGTACCTAGTAACTTATTGATCTACCCGGTATTATTCTGCAGAATACGTATACTATCACGTACGGTGTCCCTACCTCGGGAGGCTATGTTATGTACTCCGAGTTTTTTTAGATCAAGACTATTTTTAGCAAACCCACACGGGCCAACGGTCCGCGGGTGAGTCAACAAGATCCCAAGCCCTAAAGATGATCCCGAGGTTGATGAACACGTGTGTTGGCTTTTTATTTTAGTTCTACTTTGTATATTCAGTCTAGAAGGGTATCCCGAGGCTGGGAAGCACTAATTACATGTGTATTATGCGATGTATACGGAGTACATACTAATATAATAATACTTAGGTAATATTCCGTGTATTTTTATTCACCCGCACTTAAGGTTTGCACAAAAAGGCGTTCATAAGGAATGCATATGATACATACTTTGTAGGAGCTAAAATTAGGCCAATTGGAATAGGCCGGATGATCTGCATCACGCGTGATTCGATTTTCTAGAATGGCTGGGAAAGGAAAAGAAAAGAAAAAGAAAAAAGTGAGACTTTGAAAGGGTCGATTTTGAAAACTCTATGTACTTATACGGAGTATACGGAGTACACAGAGTATAGTATAGATGTCAAGGTTGGATTCCCAGTGTGCTGTTCGAACTCGAACGTGAAATAAGGAGATCTACAGACAATTCACCTACAATATACGCATATATGGACGTATCTATGGACGCTTGCCACTTCCCATGATGGGACCGAAGCGGAGGAACATCACCAATCGCAACTGGGGACCGAATGGTTGTACCATGGAGGAACAGTCATTTAGCGAGATTTTTGTAAATATTTTAAATATTCTTAATATTTCTTAATATTCCCAAGAATATGAAATAAGCTAAATAGAAATTGGGCTCAAAATAAAAATACAAAAAGAAAAAAAAATAGACCCAAGAAAAAAAAAAGCGAATACGTACGCGGTAAGTTGGAAGTACCTGGAAGCCTTGGATTGCGTGGTCCCGATAAAAACCATTCCATTTCCCTTTTCTTGGAGAAACTTGAAAAGATTTTTTTTTCTTTATTTCCTTCATTTCAGCAATTCAGCAATTCTGCAATACTTGCAATCTAGGTCAATTCCTATTGCATCCTGTACTCTTGTACTATTGTAATTCATTTGCTTCCTTGCTCCACTCTTTGACACACTTCACATCTCGCATTTACCCCAACCACTTAGGAAAGCACCTAAAACCACCCTCAAATCACTCCCAGTCACCCTCAGTCGACCTCCATTTATCTCATCGTGTTGATCGGATCCCACTGGTGACCAGCCTGACCGTGTCTCGGATTGCAAACGCGCTGAATTGTTATCGCCCCTCTTGGTAATCTCTACCTCCACCTACGCTCCACTCCAGCGGTAGGCAGATCACAACCGTTTCAGACCTGCCTTGAATCTCGGACGCTAAAAAGTACGGTGGAACTCCTAATAAAAATGGACACCCCCAAATCTCCCACCTCTCCTAAAAGGAGTCGTGGATTCAGCGTCAAGTCCGACAAATCCGATAAATCGGGATCAACAAGCCACCGACGTGGTATTTCGGAGTCTTCAGAAGAGAAAGCGCGTCGCAATCTACACACCAAAGCAGATCCACTCGTCGCCATGAATGAGCTTCAGCCTAGTACGTCCAGTTGAGAGGTTGGGCCTTGATTCTGGCCCGGTCGCATCCCTTCCCAGTTCACTTCAACTGATATTTCAACAGTGGCCGTGGCGCTGGAAAAGTCAAATTTGGGCTCGCTGCGAGAGATTGAATTCAAAGATCAGTACGGGAATGTCATCAGTTCGTATTCACTCACAATCTTTCATTCCTGGGGCTGTTGGGCTAACCCTTGCTTCCTCCTAGCCGACCCCGACCTGTCAAATCCCACTCGACCACGTTTGGAGCGCCCCCTGGATACCATTCGATCGTTTGAGGCAGCCATCAACGGCTCATACAATAATAACCGTGCGTCATATGTTAAAACAGGTATTTTTTTTTTGGCAATTCCTTGTGAAAAGTCAGGAATGCAGGAATATGGGCTGATTTCTTTGATAGATGATGGGGCATCACAGATGGGCGACTTCAGCCGACGAACAAGCTACTATGGAGGTATGTTCTATATATGATTGCCGCCTTCTATTAATTGTGTCTAACCCTTTCATCGATAGGTCAAAACAACGGCCCTTCAAACAGAAACCACGAACAAAGCAGTTACTACGGCCAACCACAATCGCGACCAGACAGCATCCTGAACGCATACCAAAACGCACCTCTATCACCCGAGAACCCGAACCCCTACCCCTACGCCCAGAGCGGTTATAATCAGGGTGGATATAACCAAAACGGCAGAAGACGCCACCATCCACGCGGATCGCCCTCGGCACCCCTCACCCCGTCCGAGGGCTACCCAAACATGCCCGGCGGCTCACAATACGGCTACCAACGGTCCCGTGACAACGTGGCTGCCATGTCGCATAATAGTTCTGGCCACACGGACCCCTACGGCCAGTCCACAGACCCCAGCTCGATGAACAGCTCCAACGACCAATTGCAGCAGCAGGTTCTGCAGCAACAGCGTCTTGATGGGCGTGCTCAAGCCGATCATGGTTTCAATTTCAACACACCCAGGACTCAGCCCGTCAGTGACTCCAGCTGGGGTGGACCTGCTGGAGGTGCTCCGGCTTCCACGGGAGCTAGGCCTGCACAATCGACTCCGCAAAGGAATGTGAACCAACCTCCGGCTCCAGAGAAACAGGATAAGAGGAAGAGCTGGTTCAAACGCCGGTTCAGCAAAGATTAAATAAACCCGAGTGTCTTGTGTGAAATGTGAGATTGAGATGGACAGTGCTTGATACTTGTATCCGGACACTTCATTTCAAGATGCATGATCCTTCTTTTTTTTTTTTTTTAGGGCTGTGCAGACTGGCGTTATTCATTTTGTACGGAACCGGATATGGATATGCGGGATGTGTTTATTATTGTTTTTGCTTCTTCATGCCTAGTTCTTTCATTCGCATGCTGTAATGAGGTTATGATACATGGACACATGGGAGACGTCATGGATTGGGATTTGTTTAATTTCTCTCGCTTTTTGTTTATTATTCATATCGATCTGTATCTATTCTATTCCGTATCCATCCCTCCTAGGATATCCCTCACATTCTCCTTACTGTTCTCCCATTAGATGCATATGCATACACCTGCAGGTACAAACACCCATACATACCTATATACCTAGGCATATGATCCACCTTAAAAGGGTGAAAGATAACCGATAATACGAAACAAGTAAATATCAACCATAGAATCCGGAAACAAAACCGGAGAATAAATTGATACCAGGCTCACCCGCCATCACCACCGCACGAGAGAAATGGGAATCACGAAAGAAGCACAAGACAAGACGCAGCAAAAAGAAAGAGTAAACCCCCCTCCTCCCCCCGAATTTACCCCTACTTCCGCCCCAGCAACTTATACTTCAACTTATCGGCCAACCCCTCATGCGCAACCTTCTTCTTCTCCTTCTCCTTGAGCGTAGCCTCATCAAGATGAACATTTCCCTGTCCACCACGCTACCATCCGGGAAAAAAAAAGTCAGCCATAGTGTCCTGGGAAAAAAAAAATCCTGGAAATCCTCAATCGGGCAAAGGGGAGACAAAAGTCAAAAAAACCAAGGGGGAACTCCATAGAGGAAAAAAAAAGAACCAGGCTCGCAGAATAGGCGAGGGAAATTCAATCATAAAATAAATCAAAGGTAAACAAGCGAAAGAGTTCTCTGCTGCTTACCCCGGTGTGGTATGTCTCATCTGTAGAGTCTCGGACCGCAAGCTCGGGAATCATCTCGACGTCGTGGGGGGCCCTGGACGAAGGACGGACCATTGGGGAACCAATATTTCCTGCGCCGCCTCGCTGGGTGGAGTCTCGTGTGTCAGTGGGAGTTGGAGTTGGAGTTGGGGACTTGGGTTTTGGGTTGGTGGGGTGAGAGATTGTTGTACTCACGCCGGCAGAGTAAGCGCCATCACCTTGGTCGCCGTAGGGGCCTTCACGGACGATCTCGCCATCGACGTATCTGTGTTGATTCATTTAGTTTTAGTATATGACATCGCTTGTGCGACTTGTTTGGGACATACTCGGTGGCATCGTGGCCGATGTTTCCTTGACCTGTTTTTTTTTTTGGAGCTTGTTAGTTGGTCGTTATCTTGGAGGGGGTATGTCGCGCGGTTAGGGCTGGGGGGATTAGGTAGCTTTACCTCCTCGACCGTGCGAGACGAGTGGTGCCTCGGAAGCCTTGGCGGCTTTATCGGTTTTCTCGGGCATGGTGGTTGACTGGTTTTCGTCAGACATGGTTTCTTGCAGGTGAGGTGATCTGTAGGTGAGATGGTGGGATGGGTAGATGCGAAAGGAAGAAGGGTTGCGGTAGGTGGGAAGGTATTTATCTTATCGATGATGGGGCGATGGATGCAGGTACAAGCTGCGATGGCGGGGAAAATCCACGTGCTGGGGTGTAATTGGGAGCTTACTGTATCTTTAGGGTCTCGAGATGGCTTGAAGATGTACAGGGGGGATATAAGACCAAGTGGATTTTGGGGGATCTAGATCTATTAAGTATAACCCACCCACTCGATCGTATCGGGGGAGCTAGATAATACTAAGATTCCGAGCCAAGAGGTTCCTTAATTTCGCTCGTTCTCTATCTATGTCGTTTAGATGTTGTTATTCAACTACATCTTGAACATTTTGTCATTTATATTCGCAGACGAACTACATTGGTGACGTCGCTGATAAGATAACGGCCTCCGATTGGTGGATGTGTGACAAACTGCAATTGGCCGATAGCGAGCTTGGCATTTATTTTATATCCCATATTAAGGGAATAATAGGGAATAGGAAATAGGGAATAATAGGAGAGAAAAGTATGTATTGAACTCGTGCAATGATGGAACATTCCTGAGAAAAGACATAAGACATAAATAACAGCGTAGCCACGGCCCAGGTGGTAAAGGATAGAATCATAGGGGCTGCGCATGCTACCCGCGGAATCAAACCAGATACTACCAGATACGCCCTTAGTTCGTCTTCTTCTTGTCTTCGCCGGAGCCACCCGTGGTAGGAAGGCCCATGAAGATTTTGAATGAATCATAGCTGTAAGATTAGAGTCAGTATATATCCAGCACACAGACCAAAGGAAAGCGGGACCATACATCATCCATTGGAGTCCGGTCTGTACATCGGAGTCTTGTTAGCACATAAATTGAATCAGTTGAGCACATGAGAACAACTCACCAGAGTACCGATCATCACAATACGAACAGGAAGTCCGTTCCATAATCCCCGGAAGCCAATGTCACCATAGATGCGGCTCATAGCAGCGCCAAATGCCTCACCCGCCTGCCGATTCGCGTTCAACTTACTAACCATGACATCGGCAGGGTGCGATACTGCAGCACACAGAATACCAGCGAGGTAACCGCCCGAGAATGCAACGGCAGTCTGGGCACCCTTGTTGTAGTCGGACTTCTGACCTGGCAGATTGTGGTAGATCATCTCAACAATAGTCTCGAAGGAAGCGAACTTCATCATCGTGTAGGGAACTTGACGGCCCCATAGCGGGTAAAGACCCTTGTATAGACTGATTTAAGAGTCAGGAGATAGAGACTTGACTCAAAAACGGAAGACGATAGACGTCAAACTCACCCAGCAACGCCCTCCTTGGCAACAACGCTTGAGATACCGCTGAAAGTACCTGTGATCTCGGGAGGAATGGTAGTCTGACCACGGACCTTGACAGACTCGAATGGACACAGCGCGATATCTGCGATCAGCTCTGCCGAAGCACTGGCTGTCAGGTAGATGGCAGTCTTGAACCGGCTCGCGTTTTCCTGGCCGACTAGGTCGCTGTAGAAGACCTTGAAGTACTCGTATCCTCCATACTTGAAAGCTCCTTGGGCCTGTTATAACTGTAATCAGTACAGATATTTAAGGATCTAAGGGATCCACATGTCGCTCGGGCTTACACTGTAGCCGAAGAAGGTAGGGCTCCAGCCCGTGAAGACGCCGCGGATACCTTCAGCTGCACGGATGGTGCGGAATGCTTGTATGTTGCTCTTGTAGAGCTTGGGGTCAACTTGACGGCGACATTTGATTAGGTCGAGGGGTGTCACGGCAGTGTGGGTAAGACCCTGGTATGTATGTGAGTATCTGGTCCATATAGCCCTCATACTTCGGATAAAAGGGGACACTGACACATGCCAACATTCCACCAAATGTGCAAGCTGCATAATACTTCAGGGAGCCAGGCTGGATCTTGCCAGTCTTCTCCTGGGCCTTTTGGCTTGCGGCATTAAATTCCCGGCTCGCCTCGTGGGCAATTTCGTCGGCCTTTGTTTTCACATCATCAAGTGCACTCCAAGCTGTGAACGGTCTGTTTTTCACAGTGGAGCTCTCTTTGGAGCTCACAGTACCTATAGGATGCTGGGCGGCGAAAGCGTTGATCCAGTCGGGAATCATGGTGTACTTCGGGTGGAGGTGGGTATAAGTGGAGTCGGCTTGGATATCCGATGATCTCCACCAGATGGTGGATTTCAAGTGATACTGAGTGTATTTCCTTTTAATTGGATCTGTATGAGAGATTGAATTGGGATGAAATAGAAAGCTATGGGGGAGCAAGAGCTCACAAAGACAATGACGTGTAGAGGTGGTAAGCCCTGGCGGGGTAGCAAGGCACTTCCAAGGTTTAGAGGACGTTTTGAGTAGAGACTACTTTGGATACTCTGTACTCTGTAAGAACTAATACTTGCACTTATAAAATAGCCATCGGAGTTAGGAGTTAGTACTTGTAGTTCCTCCGTGTGGGTCTGTGAGTAAACATCCTGGTAGTTACATACACCTGGCCAGGGTCACAATCCTCCCCCTGGGGCAAAAGATAAACCGGTTTGTATATATATTTAAGGACATGTGCTTGGAACCTATAAAGATACACTGAGGAAATTTATTGTATCGTTTCATAATAAATACCTCTAGTTGCCAATGGTCCCGAAATTTAACCTGGATATTCACTCTAGATATACTCCGTAGCTGGGTGAGGGTATCGATTTGGGGTTGTCTTAGCTGCATACAAACTTCCTCCTTTTATTTAGGCCTGATGATGGAGAGTACGCTATATTTTGAATCAAAAGTGAAAACTTTGGAAGCAAAAACCAAATGGATAACTAAGTACGAATCTGATATGCTCCGTGGCCGCAACCGTTTGCCGTAGTGGAGTTAAAGAGATGCCAAGCTTGACATCAAAAAGTCATCCCGCAACGGTTGAAAGCTCTTGATCTTACACAACTTAGGTATACCCTATTGAGGATCCTTATTTTGACTTCTCAATATTTACACCCGTGCCAATTCTCCTCCATCTTTCATCTACCCGTCCTTCTTCTCAACTACCCCCCAATTTACCCACTGCCCCTCACCAACCCCTCATCGCGATCACAGCCAGAATGGCATCATACCTGACCGGCAGCGAGGCCTTCACTCGCGAGAAGCAAGCCACCCCCGAAACTAGCACATCGTCTACATCAGCCTGGGCCGACAAGTACCGTGGTGTCCGTCTCTCCCAATACAATCATCCGGAACCCCCAAACTAACACAAAACACAGGCAACAGTTGAAGATCTCGATCCTCCCCCGGCGCTTTCAATCTCCTCCAATGACCCGATTTCCACAGCCCTAATGGCCGCCTACGAGCGCGACTACACCCACCTCACCGTTATCTCCCCGACAAAGCGCTCCCTGCTGGGCTACCTTAGCATCCCACGGCTACGAGAGCTCCTGCAAAGCGGTGCCGTGAAAGAAAGCGACCCAGTCTCAGCAGCGATGCAACGGTTTAACCGCAAACGCGGTATCTACCAGGTTATCACCATGGACACGCCGCTCGAGGATCTCGAGCGATTCTTCGAGAGCGAGACGGGGCCAAATGGCGAGAAGCGCGAGAAGCAGCAATTTGCTGTTGTCACTGATGTGGCACGCAAGTTTGTGCTTGGTGTTGCTACCAAGGCGGACTTGGAGGAGTTTGTCAAGCGCAGACCTACCTAAGCTGATAGCTGATGAGAATGGGAATATGTGAGAGTGATTTCTGTTTGGTACTGCATATCAGCGTATCTGTCTATACTGAGGGCGTGGGTCGAGGCCTTTTTTTGTCTCTACATGCGGTTCCTTCAACATGAACAGCACATTCTTAATATGACCTTTGACTACCGGGATATCTAACAATCAGATGAATAACTCGGTCAATGTGTAGTTTTACAATTGAGTCATTAGATGGTTGAAGTTGTTCCATCCCAATTATACAAAAACAGAAACCCCAACCGGCCGAAGAATGCCGTAACGCCGAAAAGAGTAATCGTTATCTGAAATCCCCCCGGTCGACTTTTATACAACCTACTGGGCTTTCTTTGAATCTGACTTGCTGGCTGCTTGTCTGTCCTCCTGGTCCTCCGTCCAGGCGACATAGATATATGCGAATAAGACCACGTTGGCGGTAAGGGCGGCGGTAATTCCGGCGAGTGTCGAGCTCCCTAGATAACATCAATTCAATTAGTATACATCATTGCAAGTTGGGAGGCGGAGAAATACTCACCACTGAAGATCGTATTCACGGTCAAGAAATACATGCCAATGGGGCCAGCGATCATGGCAGCTGTAAAGCCAAGGAGCTTGTATATCACATCTCTAGATATCAAAGCTAATAAGAATTTGTCTTCAAAAATCAACTTAAGCTTCTAAGGCTATTATCTTACGCAGGAACAGCTGGGGCCACGTCGGAAGTGCCTTGCGGCGCAGGCTTCGCCGTAACATCGGCAGAGGACTGGTTGTGGGGGCGACGGGCAGACATTGTTGTTTTCTCTTGGAGCAACAGTTTTTTTTTTAAAAAAAACAAGTCCAAGGCCAAAGGATGAAAAAGGGAAGTGCCTATGTTGAGAGAACAAAGGAAAGCTATCGCCAGTGCGGAGATCATCTAGTGCCCGCCGTCACATGCTGGGGTTTGATTGGTGGATTGATGTATAGGCCCCATGTGACTTTCTTATTGTTTCGTTCGCTTTTGGTGAAGCTAAGATCTATTGTTTCATTCATTCGTTGTAGAACTAAACCCCATTCGACGGGTTTAATGAGGTTAAACTCCTTTATATGTCTTACTTCTTTGTTCTAATTCACAGCTTAATTGATTGATCTCACACGTGATTGGGCGCGTCCGTCGCGCGTGTCCGCTTTGGCAGAAAAAACGTTCCTGAATAGCGCAGAACAATTAGATGGCCTTCTATGGTTCAATGTCATTGTTAGTATTGTGAGCGATGGATGAATCTGTCAATAATACTCCTCCTCGAGATATAAAAACCATCCCGAGTACCCCCCCTGGCGAAGACTACGAAACTATCGCCACACTTCCAGCGATAACCCCGTCGCAAAGATTGACCCAACCAACACAACTACTTGAACATCCTTACCCGCGGCAAAATAACACTGTCATTCAAGTTGCTGCTTCTTCACCAATAGGCCCTGCCTCTTCTCCTCCCCGCCGAGTCCAAGGCGGTTTACTTTCATCCTTAATCGCTCCTTCTGGGACGCAATTCCGACCTCCTGCCTCTGGTCCTACAAAACGAACACCAACATTTGATCTCGACGACGGACCGACATATCGAGGCGGATCCTCAGACGAAGAGTATCTGCGAAGCACAGATATCAAACCATCTACGTTTGCGAAAACCATTCGGAGTCCCGAAAAAGAAAAGATCATGGAGTCGCCCGTCCGCACTGACCCTGCGCCAATGGATCGGTTCCGAGAAATTACAGCTTCGGCCATGTACGATCCGAAGAATGTGGGAACCGCAATCAAGCGGACTGCAGACCAGATGAGTCCACCAGCACCTAAGGGAGTTGCCGTGAAAAAAGCGCGCCAAGATGCGCCCTCTCGCGCACAGCCTGTGGGAGTTCCAGACATCATGCTTCATGAAATCAACGACTTCAGACTCCGCGTCAAAGTTGAGCGCATTCTCAAAGTTATGCCGCATATGACTGTTAGAACCTGTAAGGACGCGATGTTGAAAGCAAAGGGCAACTACGACGAGGCCCTCCAAATTCTTGCCAAAATGGACGCGAATGATCCCATGGTCATTCAATCCTCCGATGATGAATTGAGCGCCTCCCCGGCTACGGGCCCGGTCCCCATGGCCAAGCAGAACATCAAAGCCCGTGGCACCATCCAGGACAAGTGGGCAGCAATGAAGCAGCCCAAGGGCCAGGATTCCGATGACGAAGGAAAGCCTCGCCGCCGACTCATTCGTGGACCCAAGTCTGAAGGTTCTTCCCGTGCAATTTCTCCTGTTCGTTCAATCACAATCGACGATGATAGTCCCCCGAAAAAGAAGCTGGGACGGCTCCAGAAGGGTCGCAAAGCTCCTTCGCCTGACCGATCCGAGTCCCCCGAGGCTATGATGAGTGATTCGGACGATTCCAATGTTCAGGTCCAAGAATCCACCGCTGGCGGTTTGGATTCCAAGGTCTTGAAATTCTTCAATACATGCCGTGTTGAGGATCTCGCTGATATCGCTTCGATCCCCGAAGAAACCGCTCAGATTATCATTTCGAACCGTCCATACGAGACCCTCGATGCGGTGCGTGTTGTCTCCGCTCCAGTTGCAGAGACTGTGAAGCCCAAGGGCAAGAGAGGAGGCAAGGCCCCTAAGCCCATTGGAGACAAGATTGTCGACAAGTGTATTGATATGTGGACTGGATATCTGGCCATTGACGCGCTTGTTAGCGAGGTTGCGGCACTCGGCAAACCAGTCGCTGATGAGATGAAGAAATGGGGCGTCGACACCTTCGGGAAAAAGGGTGACTTGGAAATTACCAACCTTGCCCCTGCTCCTGCCAAATCAGAACACGACTCTGGCATTGCTACTCCTGCGTCTGAACGCCAATCTTCCGAAAGTGACGAAGAAAGCGGAAAACTGGTTGTTTCCAAGCGCAAATCTCGTTTTATCTCGCAGCCCACTATCATGGCCGACGACCTGGTGATGAAAGATTACCAAATTGTGGGTATCAACTGGCTGGCATTGTTGTTTGAAAAGAAACTCAGCTGCATTCTCGCCGATGACATGGGCCTGGGCAAGACTTGCCAGGTCATTGGATTCCTCGCACATCTGTTCGAGAAGGGCGTCAAGGGGCCTCACCTGATTGTCGTCCCATCTTCCACCATCGAGAACTGGCTTCGCGAGTTCCAGAAGTTCTGTCCAGTCTTGAACGTCATGCCCTACTATGCTGGTCTCAACGAGCGTGCTCTTATCCGTGAGGAGATCGAGGAACGACGTGATGAGATCAACGTTGTCATCACTACCTACACGATTGCCAAGGCGAAGGTTGATGCTAAGTTCTTGCGTGACATGAATTTCACTGTTTGTGTTTACGATGAAGGCCACATGCTCAAGAACCACCAATCTCAGCTGTACGAAAAATTGATTCGAATTCGGGCGCGTTTCCGTCTGCTTCTCACCGGTACTCCTCTCCAGAACAACTTGCAGGAGCTGGCATCTCTCCTCGGCTTTATTCTTCCCTCCGTCTTCCAAGAGCACAAGGAAGATCTTCATGCTGTGTTTTCCAACAAGGCAAAGACGACCGACGAGTCTCACGCTACACTCCTATCTCAGCAGCGCATTGAGCGCGCGAAGTCCATGATGAAGCCCTTCATCCTCCGACGAAAGAAGCATCAAGTCATTGATCTTCCAGCCAAGCACTCCCATGTTGGTTGGTGTGAAATGAAGCCTTCCCAGGTCAAGATTTACGATCATGAAAAAGAGCAAGTGCGCCAGTTGTTGGAAGATCGTGCCGCCGGAAAGAAGACTGGTTCGAAGTCCGCCAACATCCTGATGAAGTTGCGCCAGGCTGCTATTCACCCCCTCCTTGCACGTCGTCATTACACCGATGAGATTCTGCAGAAGATGTCTAAGGCCTGTTTGAAAGAAGACAAGTGGTCGCTATCCGACCCCAAGATCATTTTTGAGGAGCTCAAGCCATACAACGATTTCGAGTGCCACCACATGTGTGTGGAAAACCCCAGCTCCCTCGGCAAGTTTAAGCTCAAGAACGACGAATGGATGGACTCCGGCAAGGTGGAGCACCTCAAGGAGCTTCTCACCCGTTTCATCGCCAATGGAGATCGCACCCTCATCTTCTCTCAATTCACAATGGTCATGGACATCCTTGAGCACGTCCTGGAAACCCTGAAGATTGAGTTCGTCCGCCTGGATGGTCGCACCAACGTCGAGGACCGCCAATCCATTCTCGACGCCTTCCACGAACGTACCGAGATCCCTGTTTTCCTTCTGTCCACTAAGGCTGGTGGTGCCGGTATCAACTTGGCCTGTGCCAACCGCGTGGTCATATTCGACTCTTCCTTCAACCCACAGGAAGATGTGCAAGCTGAGAACCGTGCCCACCGAGTCGGCCAGACCCGCGAGGTCGAAATCTATCGTCTGGTGACCAAGCATACTATTGAGGAACAGATCTACGCACTGGGCCAGACCAAGCTGGCACTTGATCAGGCCGTCGCTGGAGATGATGAGGCTGGTGCCAAAAAGGGCGAGGAGGCCGGCATGAAGGTCGTCGAAGGAATGATGATGGCCGAGCTGCAGGTGAAGCCAAAGGAGTGAATGAGCACACAAAAAAAAGGAATAACAAAAAAAGACAAAAAACAAGGGTACACTGGAGTTTCTTTGTGAGGATCTGCACGGCGATGCAGATGATGCATTTAATACCGTGCCGAACATGGCACAGTGAGTACATGGTGTTTGGTGGGGTCAATATCATGGCGATTCTTCGGAATCGCATATCATTTGTTAGATTAGAGGATCAAAAATCCAATTGTCATTGATTTAGTGCACAATTTTTGTAAAGCGTAAAGTGATATGTATTGTACTAGACTAGGTAGTCATTCAAGGCTGAGCACGAGATATGTAAATTGGGGAATAATCTTTGGACAGAACAGATAGAAGCAATCAAAAACACCTCAGAATGCGGATATGAGCAAGACGAAAGTAACAATTAAGTGAGAAAAGAAAAACCGAGGGCTATGCATATGGATCGAGGATAGAGCACGAAAGGAAGCAATGATAGACGATAAATAGAACAACAGGTGCAAAGCAATATTTACGCCGTCACCTGAGATGGAGCCTCGGTCTGTGCAGCGGGAATAGTAGTCTCAACAGCTGGCTGCTCAACACCAACTTGAGTAACCTTAGCCGGCTGAGGAGCAGAAGACCGTCGAATGGGACCACCTGCATGAACAGCTGGCAAGGGCGTCTTAGTCCGAGCAGCACCGCCGCCAGCCGCACGAGCAGTCTCAGACTCCATAGCATTCTGCACAGCCTTAGACTTAGGTTCAGACTGAGCCGGTATATCAGGTTCAGCCTGGGTCGGTGTAGAGGTCACATCGGGGGCAACCTCCCACTTATCATCGAGACCGAGGATTTGATCAATAGTCGCAGCAGCAGGAAGTAAATCATCAAATTTCAATCTGCGACAGATATCAAGATACGTCTTCGACAGCTTCGCATCCTTGAACTCTTTGTCCTTGCCGGGGATCAGCATATTGAGCAGGTACTTGGTATTTCCCAGACGGTTTTCCGATTCGATACAGAAGCGCATGTACTCGTAAACGACCTCCCGCCACGGGGCAAGGCCACCATCCTCCTTAGCCCGGAAACAAGACGAGTTATTCTCCGCAGAGGTCGCGATCATCGCACCGTCAACTTGGTACTCCTTCATCAGCGCATGCCCCTGGTCACGCGAAGTCACATCGCCGTTCATCACGCACGCCACACCGGCCTGGTGACAAATTTCTGCTATCATTGAGAGTTGGTCACGGATTGCAGCTTCGCGTGGTCGCATGGGAGTAGTGCGACAGTGTACTGTCAAGGCTGTGATGCCTGTCTTCACAAGACGGGAGACGAGGGCCTTTGTTTCTTCGGGGTTGGAGAGGATGCGAATCTTGACCGAGATGCCGATTTGGTGAGGATCGCCGACTTCCTTGACAAGGCTCTCTAGGATAGAGACGAGAAGATCCGGAGTGCGGAGGAGGGCGGCGCCCATGCCACCGCTTGTGGAGAAGGGTTTGGGACAGCCAGAGTTGAGATCGATGCCTGAGACGTCGTCGGCCACGACACGCGCTGCTGCCACTGCTAGTTTCGGGTCGGCTGTGCCAAGTTGGAAGACCAACCGGCCTTTTTCACGTGCTGGGTCGATGCGGTAGATGACTGATTCTTTTGTTGGTTTGTTGGGGCGTCCGCCGTTGCTGGGCATGCGAGTGAATTCGATTGTGCCGTTTCGTGGGTTTACGCGTCGCTCGGCACCGATCAAAGAGCGGTCAACTGTCTCGGGACCCCAGACGAGGTCGGCGCCGTATTTCAATGCCAGGAGGCGGGAGGGTAGTTCTCCAGATCGGACCATTGGTGCGAGGACGATTTTGTTGCGGTAGTCGACGCCCTTGGCGGGGATGGGCACACGCGGCACAGCGGCCCGCACGGGGCCAGGTCCAGGTGCGGATGCGCTTGCGAGGGTTGCCATTGTCTTGCGGAGAGTTCTGATCATAGCATTCCCAGGTGCTGCGGGGAGAGGGGGTATAGAACGGTCTTTTTTTTTCTGGGTCCTCCGATAGAAAGTTTGGATCACGTGAAGATAGTGGCGATAACTCTCTTTTTTTCTTTTCAGGGTGGTCATTGGGTTTCATGTTTTTTATGTAATTTAATCATTCATGGTATTTTTTGAGCACCTTGGGTAATAATTCCAAGCCCGGTGAGATCAAAACAACCAATGATCAGGCTCTATTCTCTGCCAAGGATCACGACATGTCCTACCTAGATACTCTGAACATTGAATGTGGTTGTCTGCGATTTTTCTAAAGGCCTGATGATTCTAAGATTATAATGTTCTACCATTGAAGTGAACACGATTGCAATTGATCTATGGGCCGCGTGTACTGCCGACATCGGCATGTTTGACAGTATGGGGTCGGGTATGTACATGCAGTGCACATCCTACCAAATAGTTAAAAGATATAGCGTACATGCACCTACATATGTGTTATAATATGCCTTAGTATGTTGTGAGAGCACGAGACTTCAGTGGTATACAATGTAGTATCCGCAATTAATTAGACCAGTCGGGATATCAATCTGATTCGGGTTGATCATAAACATGCCGACTTTCGGAACTGCCATGTTTTTTTTTCTTTTCTTTTTTTAAAAATACAAACTTCCGACACAGTCAAAGGGGTAACACCACCACGCATCACAACATTGGAACTTATGCCCGTGTGATTGAAAAGGTACAATTTCAAGTTTTGTATCAGAAATACCAAATAAAACAAAAAAACAAAAGACATTAAACCCATAACACAGCCAATGACTCGTCCTCCCTTGGCCCGACTGGGAAGTGCTACCTCCACCGCCTCCCGCTCTGTTTGGCGCACATCAGCAACGCTGGCTCCCCCCACTTTGACTGCCCCTCTCTCTTCCTCCTCTTCTTCCTTTTCTTCTCCCTTATCCCGCGCGGCCCAAGTATCTAGACACTTTTCGTCCGCTTCACCCAACATGTCTTACTCCATTCGCAAGATCGGTTCCCCATACACTCTCGAGCACCGTGTGTTCGTTGAGAAGGATGGCGTCCCCGTCTCTCCCTTCCACGATATTCCTCTCTACGCCAACGAGCAGAAGACCATCCTGAACATGGTCGTTGAGATCCCTCGCTGGACCAACGCCAAGCAGGAGGTACGATAACACAATACTTCAATTGACCCCGCCACATGCTAATTGCATCATAAACAGATCTCCAAGGATGATTTCCTCAACCCCATTAAGCAGGACACCAAGAAGGGCAAGCTCCGTTTCGTCCGCAACTGCTTCCCCCACAAGGGTTACCTCTGGAACTACGGTGCCTTCCCTCGCGTAAGTTTTGGACCTCCCTCCCCCACCCGTGGATATGAAGAGGGGTATAAAGAAACTGACATGTTACAAACCAGACCTGGGAAGACCCCAACTCCATCCACCCCGAGACCAAGGCCAAGGGTGACAACGATCCCCTCGATGTTTGCGAGATTGGTGAGCTTGTCGGCTACACCGGTCAGGTCAAGCAGGTCAAGGTCCTCGGTGTTATGGCCCTGATTGACGAGGAGGAGACCGACTGGAAGATCATTGTCATCGACGTTAACGATCCTCTTGCTCCTAAGCTCAACGACATTGAGGATGTCGAGCGTCAGCTTCCCGGCCTCATGCGCGCCACCAACGAGTGGTTCCGCATCTACAAGATCCCCGACGGAAAGCCCGAGAACCAGTTCGCCTTCTCCGGCGAGTGCAAGAACAAGAAGTACGCCGAGGATGTCATCCGCGAGTGCTCCGACGCCTGGGAGAAGCTTGTCTCTGGCAAGACTGCCCGTGGCGAGATCAGCCTGTGAGTTCTATCCATATACATATATCCCTGTCTTCTTTTTTAGGATGTTGAAGCTAACCAGTACCAGTGCCAACACCACTGTTGAGGGCTCTGCCGACCGTGTTGACCAGGCTCAGCTCGCTGCTATCCCCCGCAACGAGAACCTGCCCCCTGCTCCCATTGATGGCAGCATTGACAAGTGGTTCTTCATCTCAGGTGCCGCAGTATAAATGGTATTTTCTGCCAAAGAAATATAAAACTAACCAAAACTTTCAAGCCTATGATCGTCTACCTGGTGGAGATTACGTTCTTCGATTTCCCGAGGACAGGACTCATTTTTGAATTGTGAATGAAATGTTCCCAATACTTATTCTTTACCACAAACGTTGTAGAGAAAAGTAGACTCTGATGGGCGAAATGCAAATCCGAGCAACTGGATATGTAGTAATGAAGCAGTCACCAAATCAAACACCATTGTGCAAGATCTTCAAATCTACTCCACTGAGCCCAATGTCAGGTATGAAGCATACATAAACAGCCTATGTTCTCTACCAAAGTAAGAATAATTTAAGTATTCCGACATGCCCAACAGCGCCAAAAATCGTCAGATGAAACAAATGATAGGTAATATAATACACGAATGCACACAGCTCGAACAACATAACTTTCCCCTAGTTCTTCAAGCTGGCCTCCCGCTGCAGAGCTCTGCCAACACGAGACACCTCCTCGATAACATCGCCAATCTTCAGCCCGCGCTTTCCGACATCCAGCGTAAGCTCCTTGCCGCCCTTAAACCCGACAGTCATGGTCGGTAGCTCGGTGGAATTGCGCGGCAATTGCTTGACCTGAATATCGATGTGGGTTGGGCTGCTTGTTGGGATAGTGTCTGGCGTGCGCAGCATACCCAGGAGCAGGCGGCATGGCCGGGATGCGCGGGAGAAGGGGTTGTAAACGGTCCGGAAGCTGGTTATCGTGGCGATGGGGATGGTCATTGTTGCGGTTTGGGTTGGTGGTGAGAGGCGCGAGGGGAGGGTTTGTGGACTGGCAAATTGATTAGTTTTGAATCTTTCTAGGTAATTGTACCCTGTAGCTCTCTTTCTTGGTTCTGTTGTTGCGTACCTGAGTGGATGAGGCTGGCGGGAAGTTTTTTAAAGGTGGTGTTTGCTGGGTTGATTCCGCCGCGGTTGGACAGATAACTTTCGGTGGAAGATTATTCCAAGGAGAATATGGCGTGGACCTCAGTCGGTCTGCGACAAGTCTGACAGGTAATGGCGCAGGTTCAATTGGAAGTTCTAACCACACCAGAGTCTCTGTTGCGAATTGCGGTTGAAGGAATGGGGCATGTTTGACTCAGATGCAAACACAATGCCAAATGACGCCCGTCTACATGGCAACTTTGAGTTAAACAACTCGACACTTTTAAAGCAACTTATTACTTCAAGTCTCTCGGGATATTCTCTACTAGTATCTATTTTGAAAGAAATTCCTCCAACTCGCCGAACAAATAGCACTTGAATGTGTTACATCGAATAAACAATACTCTCATCGCAAGATGTCCCCCACGACAGCCCTCCAGGGCCGCGTAAAAGAGCTCTCAACTTCCCTGGGACAAATCCAACCCCTCGTGGATAGATTGCGCAATTTTACTGCTTCTATTGGACAAGGCGATGAAGCCCGTCTGGAGCTTGGGAGTGAAATACATTCCCAACTGAAGGAAGCCGAGCAAGAGCTAGAGCTGCTGCGTGTGGAGGTCGAGGCGCTGGAGACTGGCTCAGATAGCAGGCGCAAGGCCCCTGCTGTCCATGGACACAAGGAGGCTGAGAGGGAGCGGGTTATTTCGATGGTAGGGCGATTGGCTGAGGATCTCAAGAGGTAAGATACCCTTAAACGACTTGCACATGCCGGGGAGATTTCCTTGTCATGGTTCACTCCCTAGTCTTTAACTGTTTAGCATATGCTAATCGACCCTCTAGAACACGAGGTGAATTCCGAACTGCCCAATTACAAGCGAAGCGGAATGCCGAACTCGCCAAGCGGAAGGAGAGAGAGTTGCTGCTGTCGAGATCGCATTTCTCCGAGAAGAAGCAGCCAACAGAGAAGTTCACCCAGGATGATCTTGTTTTGAACGCGTCGAATGACGTGACATCTGCCCTACGCAGAACCCATCAACTCATGCAGGCGGAGCTCTCCCGCAGCCAGTTTGCCCAATCAACCCTTGGTGGGTACCTCTTTCGTTTTCCCTGATCCTACCGGACGCTAATACCTTTTAATTAGAACAATCCACAGCCGCGATCTCATCTCTGTCCGAGTCCTATAGCAGCCTTGATACACTTCTCTCTTCGTCCCGCAGCCTGGCTAACTCCCTTCTCCGCTCCCAAAAGTCCGACACATGGTACCTTGAGACTGCTTTCTATGTTCTTCTTGCAACAATTGGCTGGCTTCTATTCCGACGTGTCTTCTATGGGCCTCTTTGGTGGCTTGTATGGCTGCCTCTGAAGCTCATTGGCCGGGTCGCGTTTGCAACACTAGGTGCAGCCGGGCTGTCTACTACAGCTGTGCAGTCTGCTTCTCAGTCCCTTGCAGGGGATGTCTCTACGGCTATTCATCAAATGTCCACGGCGGCTACAACGGGAACCGTGACAGCCAGTATCACTGCCTGGGAGCAAGAGCCGTCAGCACCGATCGACAGCGATCGTGTAATTGACAAAATTGGTGAGATGGTCGAGCAAGAGAAACAAACAAGTGTAGACATTGACGATGTCACTCCGGAAGAGAGGGCCAGACAGGCAGAGCTTCCCCGGAATACAAAGAAGAGGATGTTCGAGGCCGGGATGGAGGAGCCGGTGCGAGACGAGCTATAGATATTGATCCAAGTATTAATGAGATACCATGCAGTCATGAAATTTACAACCTTGATCTTTAGTAGTTTAAAAGACCATCATCGAAGGTGATGATGGGGTTGAAGTATACCTAAGTAGTGGGATACTCTCATTGGTCAGTGGGTTTAAGTGCTGCGCGTGTCACGTGGAGACGCGTCTCGATTGTGGAGGGCGTCAGAGAGATCTTCAACACATCGCAGAGCAGTTCTCGAGATAACCCTGACTTTGCTGATTTCGGGCTATTCAACAACAATGGCTGCTTCTTTCTTTAATAATAAGGCTCGTGCCGCTGCCGCTGCAGCATCCAGCAGCTCCAAATCCAAAGCTGGTGACAACAAGGAAGATTCGGCCCGACTCCAGCCGTGGGTTGAGAAATAGTAAGTCAATGCTTCATGCCGAGCTCACCGAACATTTGACTGATATTGATTAGTCGTCCCAAGACCCTGGATGATGTTGCTGCGCAAGACCACACAACCAAAGTCTTGCGGCGCACTCTGCAAGCTTCAAACGTAAGCCACCCAGCCCTGAACAATTGAAACAATAAAAATAACACCAGCTAGCTTCCCCACATGCTCTTCTACGGACCTCCCGGTACAGGAAAAACATCCACAATCCTCGCCCTCGCCAAATCCCTCTTCGGGCCCGCCCTCTACCGCTCCCGAATCCTAGAACTGAACGCCTCCGACGAGCGCGGTATTGGCATTGTCCGCGACAAAGTGAAGAATTTCGCCCGAGCCCAGCTCTCCCAACCAACAGGCCTAGACGCCGAATACCGCGCACAGTACCCATGCCCACCATTCAAGATCATCATCCTTGACGAGGCAGACAGCATGACGCAAGACGCACAGTCCGCTCTGCGTCGCACGATGGAGACATACAGTCGGATCACGCGGTTCTGTCTTGTCTGCAACTACGTCACGCGCATTATCGAGCCGCTCGCCAGTCGATGCAGTAAGTTCCGATTCAAGATGCTGGATAATAGCGCTGCTGGTGAGCGGATCTCGAATATTGCGCAGCAAGAGGGTTTGCAGCTTGAGGATGGGGTTATCGATACGCTTATCCGGTGTGGTGAGGGTGATTTGCGTCGTGCTATCACGTATCTGCAAAGTGCGGCGCGGTTGGTCGGTGCTACGAAGCCGCCTGCTGTGAAGGATGCTGATGATGATGCTGAGATGACGGATGCTGGTAGCAATTCTAGTGTTATTACGGTTCGCAGCATTGAGGAAATTGCCGGTGTGCTGCCGGAGGACATTTTGGATTCTCTTGTGGAGGCTATGCAGCCCAAGAGTGGTGGGTCGGTCTACGAGGCTGTCTCGGGGGTGATAACGGACCTTGTGGCTGATGGCTGGAGTGCTACGCAGCTTGTTGCACAGGTTTGTTTTTCTTCTCTTCGTATTCGCATCACATCTGGCTGACCTCTTTTAGCTATACCGACGTATAGTGTTCAACGAAGCAATCCCCGATATCCAGAAAAACAAGATTGTCATGCTCTTCTCGGAGATGGACAAGCGGCTGGTTGACGGGTCCGATGAGCATCTCTCCATGTTGGACCTTGCATTACGCATTGCTGGAGTCCTGCGCGGAAATTGAGAGGCATTCTTTTGTCAACTCTCGGTGACCCTCCTGGTCAGCAGTAAGACTCCCCGAATACTTGATTGAAAATAGAGATGGCGTTCGGGACAAGGACGGCCTACATGTTCGAGGCGTTATATTCGGATTTTCTTAGCACTCAGATCTTGTTCGAATGGAATGATCATGATACCCTTCCACTTTTCCTTTTGCGCGAACTCCTGGCGCCAATAAACAATATTGCAAAATAGCGAGAAGTAAATTCCTCTCAAGTATAGGCAATGGTTATGGCCCTGATTCCTGGCCTTTCTTTCATTTCAGCAGCTATAAAGCAAGATATAAATGCAGGCAACATTAAACAAAAGGCTAGGCAAGGCAGAGCCATAGGAGACTAGAGGAGCTCATCTCTCTTACTCTGCTTAAAACCAACCAAACCATGAGATTTAGCAGTTTGCCTCGCTTTAATTCTCACTTTCTACCAACTCCTATCTCCCGACAACGGCCTGGACTTTCCAAGTCTTGATACTCAACATATTTCGCTGGTTCTCTATCAGGCCTCATAATTTTGCTCATCTTGATATGGATTCTAATCACCCTGCCAGACTGCGCCTTGGAGCTAGTCGTGACCCCCGTCGTGCTGGTAGAGCTAACCAAGGAGCTGGTCATGATGATAGACAACAGCACCACCACCGAACCCAACAATACCAGCACCAAAGCCAGCACAACCACCAGGTAAGCTATACTTTACAAAAATATGTGCTCCCCATTGCTGTGTCACTACCACCAACATTAGCTTGGAGAGCGTACTTGGTGATATTTACACTGCATCTGATGCCTTCTACCTTCTGATCTTGTTCTTCAACGTCTCACTCACATATTGTATATCCTATTTCGAGGATAAACCCTTTTGACCAACCACTGACAAATAAATTGGTAACTTATAGAGCAGCACCACCTTGACTTGTTACCTCTGTCACGACACCAGACATCTTCAACGGAGTTGTCCACTACTCGCCCTGTGGAGATCTGCCATCGAGACACTCTGCCGCGTACAAAACACCTCCCAGCACAAGTTATTTAGTTACTTGCTGGCATTATTTTCTTAAGGACCACAATATCGACCCAATGAGCCTTCTTGAACAAATCGACGTCGTGAGTATTGATTCTGGAAGGACCTTCTGCACCATAACTAACCTAACACAGGGGATCCTTGTTGCTGCTCTAGCTAGCGCTCTTCCCGATGGGGATGGCGACATCCCTATGCGGTAAGTCATTCTATAAAGGGTTATTGGTTATTTTCTGGTCAACCAAAGACTCGAGTTTTAGGATACGAGAAGAATACAACAACTAAGCCCTAAATGGCGCTTGAATAGTGACTTCGACTTTATCGAGTCGTAGAATAAACCTTGACCCAATTAAATGCCTTGGGTTTTAAGGGAACTTCCTACTTGTTAACAAGCCGGTATATCAAAAGATGGCCAGTTCCGTCGTTGTTAGGGCGTTGGGGATGACCCCCCGCCCGGGGCCCCCGGGGTATCATGCATACTGTACTCCTTTGGAAATGCGGGGCATAAAGGGCTCCACTTGGGCAAGGCCCGCCCCCTGAGCCGAGGGGCCGTGGAACTGGGCATCGCCAAGTATGGAATATCCCACTTGCCTCGGGTATATTGATGATATTAATATACTCGGTGACTACGACTCTGTAATGCATAAATGAAACCTGGCCGGAATTCCTTGAAGGGTATACTTGTCCATATGAAAGGTGTTTTGTCATCGAATGCGCCAAATGCGCCGATATATCGTCCTTCGGTACTTTCCCGTAGGTACGCTTTGCGCGCTTTAACAGCAACACGGCACAACCACAACATTGAGGATATTATAAAACGAGCAAGCCCACCGTCTATTTCGTCATGCCGATGATGAGATTTCGGCGTTTCGGCGATTTTAAGGGATCAAAAAACAAATCCCGGTACTCGGCTCCCGAGTGCCGGAGAACAAGAACGAGCTTACACCCCCGCTAATAAAGGAAACCCATAGAGAAGAGTTACAGGGACAATCAATAACAAACATCGAGACACACCATGGGTACCGAATACCATTTTGAACATACGCTCCAAGAATCCACCAGTGGGATCGAGGCAATGCCATACCAACGAGTCGAAAAGAAATTCCGGCCAAGGCGAGCTAAATGGGCTTGTTATGCCTGCCACAAACGAAAAGTGCGTTGTGATGCACTAAACCAAGGCACATCTTGCACCAATTGCAGACTTGATATGAAGGAATGCGTTGCTCCGCCGCGAAGGAAAAAAAGGACAACAGCTCCGACCCCGTATACTCCTGGCAAAGCTAGGGCGGATAACACGCCACAATCACCACATGTATCACAACATCCCACAATACCAGACTCTAGGTGCAATGAAGTCCAGCCGAATAGCGCCAATCCATCCTCACCACGGAAAAGGAAAAGCGAGCCTCGAAACTTGATTTCTCCATGTACCAGTCCACAGAAAAGACAACATGCCGGTGAAGGCTCCTTACACAGTATGGACAATGAAGTCGGGCTATGGATGGAAAAATTACCTCTGAACGTTCCAGAACAGCCCGAGCTACGTTCTACCAAAGACATTTCGAGGCCCCATCGAGATACCATTGATGGACTCAATCCGGAACAGTTCCATCACAAATGCTCCGAAAAGTTGCTTCAGGCTGTGGACATCCTGACCGAAGTCATCATCATGCACAATTCACTTTCAACACACACTGAGTCATCCGTTCCTACAATCCATCCAACAGCTGATATTCATTCCACCGAAAACCAAATAGATGATGATGCACTAAAGGAGAACATGGAATACTCATCTGTCTGTCATCAGCTTGGGGAGAATATATGGGACACTGAGACCACATTGGATGCAAGTTCGGCTTTGACCCCCGAGTCTCTCGAATTTGTGGCTGCGTCGAATTACAATATTTGGTTGGAATTGAATGACTTTGACCTCGAAGGTCCTTCATCGCTGGGTTCATATGATGCATAGTAAGCTGGGTCTTGAATGGGGAAGTGTATAGATAAATATTTGAAAATTCATCCTCTTTGCAAAGAAACCCAGAGCAATGTTTTCAAAAGCGACTCTTCATGTTATTTGAAAGTGGTACGACTAAATCAAGGAAAAAAAGAAGCTTTCAAAGTTTCTGTGAATTGGTAACCCTCCCTTTGATGCTGATGAAGTACCAGGGGCCTCAAAATAATCGTGTGAGGTTGAATGTTGCTATTGCATTACAAGGCATGCTTCTGATCTGTCAGACATCTCAGGGAATCGATATGGACGTTAAGATCGTATTACTATAAAATATGGTTATGCTAATGACCTCATGTAGGAAATAGCACCCTTTTCTCTATGACCTGTATCCTCCCCTCTCCATCAAAGTGGTGGAGTGTATAATTCAGCCAGTTCCGCGTCTTACCCTCCTCATCCATAACCGACGACACACTGAAATCACATGTGCGATACCGAGCTGGTGGGATATGCCCCGGTTTGGCCAGGAGTTCATATACCTCAGAGACTTTTCCTGGCAGGTTGTCCGGGTTCTCCTCCAGCCCAATGAGAATGGCCACGATATGAGCGGCCGGGGTGCACATAAATAGCCCTTGTGCCGGGGGAGCCTCGGACATGTACTGTAATGCCTGTCGACGTAGCTCGGGGAAGGGACATTTGAGCCCGGTGATGAAAAGTGGGAGGAACACACCCATTTCAAACATAAACGGTGGTTGTTTCCCTTCCGAGCTGCGTGTCCATGCAACCGCGGTGGGGGCCAAGTCGATGATCTGGGCGAATTCGGATTCGTAGGCGTCGTATACACCTTGATCGAAATCCAGCATGGCTTCTGCTTCGATGAAGACGCTCGTATATGTCATTAGAAGAAGCGCTGTTGCACCATCGACGTTTGAGCCATGTATAGATTTCAAATATGTAAAGAGGCGATACCATTGAATGAGTCGGGTTTTCAGGTGCTGTTGTCTGGCTAACAGCTCTGATATCTCGTGCAGCTGGCCATCTGCTGGTCGGCGTATATAAGCTTTGGTGTCAATGTCGAGGGCCTTCATTTCGGCTACAATGCTACACAGAACGTTCCTTGCCTCTTCGGTCGATGTGAAGCGCTCGTCTGGAACGGCCAAATGAAGACCCCAGGTTTCTTCTGATAGTCCATTGGTGATGAAGACCCATGTTCCCAAGCGGCGGAAGATGGGTTCGAGGGCGGCGATGGCCGAGGTTGCTGTTGACGAAGCACCAAAAATCAATTGTGCGCCTTTTTTATACAAGACCTGAGCACCTTTGCGACTTCCCTGTAAGAGCTCGATGGCAATGAAGAGAATGCAGCTAATCAAGGCCACTACCAGGTCTGCTGTGCCCTGACTAATACGTTTCTGTAAGAGAGACAGCGAGCGCGAGTACCAGACCAATGCTTCGCGATGGTGCTGGTGTCGCACCGCAGCTGGATCATTTAGAAGCAACCAGGGTGACGTCTCGTGGATGGGAGGTCGTTCGTAAAGCGCGCTGAGCGAGATGATCGCATCCCAAACAAGCGGCTCTGCCCGGCAGATTTGGAGGACTGAGCCTCTCCAGAAGGCCTGGTCCAGGACTCCTGAAAGTGATGGGCCGGCCTTGTGGAAATAATATTCAAAGGCACGACGCTCTCGCGATCTCTGACATGCGAAGGTCGTGAGCTCCAGCTGGGGCCGCCCAATAGTCTTTCGAGGACCAATGCTATTATATTCGCACCGGCGTCCTGTACTGGTACATCTCAGGCAGTGTGGTTTCTCCTCGCCACACTTTACACGGCGAATTCTGCGAATCGAATGTCAAATACAGCGACTGATCAAGTTTCTGGGGGCTAACTGACTTGCATGTGTCGCATCCGGTCTTGGACTTGGTACCTCCGAGGCGACCAGGGCGCTTGGCGGACGAGTTCATGACCAGAAGAGTGGTAAACGGGGACAGTTTCTTCGAAATCTATGGTATCGGTTGGCCATGTCCTCATCCAAACCCAGTCTCGTAAGCAGGAAGCACAGGGGGAAGCAAAGTCGTGTGTATCAAAATTCTTTGTAATATACAGAAAATTACATTCTCGATACGGAGTATGATAGATATAGATTCAGACAATGAATAGATCAAGATACAATGTAATCAAGAAAAAAGCGAGAAAATGATAAGTGGAGATATCTATAGCCCTGGAGAGTTAAATAGGAACATATGGGTATAGAACACTGGGGGAATCTAAGATCCGGTCAAAGTTATGAAACATTGATTGTTATTTATATTTGTTGTTTATATCGGGTGGATTAATGTATCATCTTTGTAAATTTGATCGGAACTATACGAAATGGTATATATTACGCACGTGACTTGTACAGAATCGGCAGAATTCAATGTGATCCTCTTCCGACTCGGTCTATTCCGTACCGCAGCTATAACATTGTTCTTAGAGGGATGCACACAGGAAGATGTTGGTTGGATGAAAGTGCCTTAGCAGACCCACAATATATAGACACAGCATACAGGCTGTCTGGCGTCTCTAGAGACAAAACTCCTGGTTGGATGTTTGCTCATGGCAAAAGAAAAACTAGAACATAAATCAAGGGAAGTTTCCAATGTGATGAAGTATATTATTCTATCTAAGTTCGAATACGCTTTAAATCAACTCTGATGTCGCATTGTATCCCGCAAAGTATGACTCTCAAGCAAAGCAATAACAATGTCCACCTCTTTTCTCAATACGAGAATGTACACCTGGACAGACCCTCGCAACATAATAACTTAACTTCACAAATCAAAGTCTGCAGATCCATAATTACAGCAACTCTCTCAGCTTCCCAAGTCACTCTTCACATGAGTTCGCATTCACAAACAACAAAAGCGGAGCACAGATCAACCGGCCGTCCATCGACCGACAACCAGGTGCGCTGAGCATCCAACGTTACGGCAAAGCCCGACTCTTCGGTAATGGTGCATACTGTAGTTTGGTCGAATGCAGTGACCTGGGCGCTCGACGCGAAAACAAGACCATGCGGTGCAACCGCGGTGTTGCCCCAGAGCTCTTGAACGGAGTACTTGACACCGTCGATAGGGATGGGGACGTTGGCATTGGCGCCAGAGTGATCGTTGGCGAGTTGCATGGTGGCGGTGGTTTTCCATCCAGCCTGAGGGGTGGGAGAGGCGAGTCCAGAGACCCAGAGGAGGTTGAAGACAAGTGCAGAGGCGTTGATCAATTGCATCTTGTATGGATGATTGAGGGGGGTTTGGTAGGAGGTTGTAGGGTAATTGAAAGACTTGAAAGTTTGGTAGATGTGCTTTAATAGAATTGCTTGTTGATATCTCTTTTACCACGGATCTTAGGAGATTTATATACATGTTGATGGAGGCTGGTTATTCAACCAGATTTCGTTGTTTGGTTGGAAACAGTAACTGTTTGGGAGGGCTAGTGACTTGTTATTGAACCGGATTTTGTTTCCGTCAACTTCTCAGGATCGTCCCCAGTTCTTGCCTAATCAAACACCACTTTTACTACCCTTCTACTACCTGGTACACGCGTAAAAATCCAAAAATCGCTCTATTAGCGCGGGAATATTATGGCATAACAGAAATGAATCAATTTGATACTTTAATATTGTCCATAATTTAAATTGTTTGAAGGATTTTAAGGCAACGAAACACGATGTTTATGCCCCTTGTGGGCGCTATCTAGAAATATGTTAGTTTTCCTGGCAACCTGGCAAACCAGACGACAGAGTCAGGATAATCAACAGTCCTTACTAGTCATAGATGACGAGCGCGACAAATGGTACGAAATGCCCATAAAATGCTATTCATGTTCTCCTCGCTGATCGCGGTTATAGGAACTTTGTGTTATCCCTCCCTTGCAGCACATTCTAGTCGGTAAATTAACCCGAAACAAACAGGTACACGGCCAGATACCTTCACCTACCCCTTGGTTGGTTTCAGTAAGATAGCTAAAAAATCAGGATTGGAACTCGTCATCCAGATTCTGCACAATTTTACATCTCGAGGTCTTTGCAATCACCTTGGGGAGCGGCCATGGCCTATCCGACCGTTATTCCATTTGAGAATGATCGTTCTAACGGACCTCGGTGCTACGACACCTACCACCGGTAAATATGAGTGTATACATGTATACAATTTGAATAAATGAGATTGATGTTCTGCTCCGGATTCAAGGCGTGGATCAAGTCCTCGTGGTTGGCAGCAATGTCCAACGCAAGGGCCCGCCGTTTTCAACGGGAAAACGGCAGGAATGTGAGGATTATGTGGCTGAGCAACTATCAAGGAGTTCAGCACGGTCTGTTTATAAGGCTGGTAGGGAGGCATTTGCTGGACGCGGCTTTTTCGAGAAAATCTTTCGCTTCAATATCGGGTTCACACCACGCAACTCCACAAAATGACACACACGAAGTCCCTGTTCCTGACTTTGATAGGTGCTGCTGCTCTGAGCCAGGCAGCTAAGGTTCATTATGATCTTGATCTCACATGGAAGAGCGGCGCACCGAACGGAGTCGAGAGGGAGATGATCTTTATCAATGATCGTTTTCCAGGCCCGCCATTGATTCTGGATGAGGGAGATGAAGTCACAGTGAGTCTGGTCCTGCTTTGCTTTAAAGCACATACTGAGAGAAATAGATAGACGTGACCAACAATTTGCCATTCAATACATCTATCCATTTCCACGGCATTGAGTAAGGCCTCCGGAAATACCTCTTCGAGAACCGCGCGATACTGAACCACACCAGGCAAACCAACACCCCATGGGCGGACGGAGTATCAGGTCTATCGCAATGGGCTATCAAGCCAGGTAACAAATACCAATACCAGTGGAATGCCACGACCTATGGTACATACTGGTACCATGCCCACGACAAGGACAGAGTAATGGATGGTCTATACGGTGGAATTAGAATTCGGTGAGCATGCAGCAGCCTGTATTAATTACGTCTCTAACAAGAAATCAGTCCGTCTGCCGACCGAGAGTCACCATTCTCAATGATTTCTGATGACCCTGCCGATATTGAGGCCATGACCAAAGCCGCCCATGATGCGCAGTTGGTCATAATGTCTGACTGGGACCATCTCCCGTCCAATGAATACATGGATGCACTGAAAGACACAGGATATGATATCTTGTAAGGCCCCAAATATGAGAGCCAAGGGAGGACCGTGCTCACAATTACCAGTTGCTCAGATAGCATTCTTATCGATGGTGCAGGCTCTGTATACTGCAAAGACCCTGAATATTTGACAAATCTCCAGTCACCCCAGGTCAGAGCAGTCATAACTGAGCCTTTGACAGATAAGGGGTAAGTCTATACTTTACTAGATTGATTTTAAGCCACTAACACTACCCAGCTGCGATCCATTCATGTCAGTTCTTCAAGGTAATTGGGAGCACCACCCAGAGCTACTTCCTGAGGGATTGAACTCCGGATGTAAGCCCAGCGAGGGTTTAACGTCCTCCTTTGAAGTATCACCTGAAGATCGATGGGCCAGTTTGAACTTCATCAGTGCAGCAAGTCTCAAATCGTTGATCTTCTCCATTGATGAGCACCCGATGTACATATACGAGGTGGATGGACGCTACATTGAGCCACAGCTTGCGCATCAGGTTTCCATTTACAGTGGAGAGCGCTACTCTGCCATGGTCAAACTGGACAAGGAACCCGGCAACTACACGATCCGTGTCGCTGGTCATGATAACCAGGTCATCTCTGGCTACGCTAATCTCGCCTACAAGGGCGGCGAACAAAACAATCACGAATCAACGGCATACATCGATTACGGTGGCATTAACACCACAGCATCTGTGATTGATCTGAACACAACGAACCTGCCGCCATATCCTGCCATCCTACCTGCGGAGGACAGCGATGATTTCCATCTCCTGACCCTCGGACGGATCAACTCATCCTGGGAATGGACTTTGGATGGAACGACCTTCCTCCCAGCTAATCTGAACCAGATGGAACCAGTCATTCTCGATCCCAAAGCACCGAGCCTGGATTCTGCCCTGAAGATTGAGACCAAGAATGGCACCTGGGTCGATATTGTGTTCCAGCTCGCCATCCCAGAGCCAACCAAGCTTCAGCCACCCCACCCGATGCACAAGCATTCCAACAAGGCCTTTTTGATTGGCAGTGCAATGGGCAAGTTTCAATGGGGCTCTATTGCGGAAGCAAAAGAGAGCAGCCCGGACAGCTTCTTTGAAACCCCTGTGTATCGCGATACATTTGTTACCGCGCCAAATGGAGAAGCCTGGATCGCTATTCGCTACCAAGTCGTGAACCCAGGACCATTCCTGTTGCATTGCCATATGGAGACACACTTCTCGTCGGGTATGGGCATGGTCTTGCTGGATGGAGTCGATGCTTGGCCGGAAGTTCCTCCCCATTACCTATAGTGTGTTCTATGTATGATTGTTCTATCCTGTCTTTGATACATGCGATTTGATTTTTCTAATTGGCTCCTTAATTATGATCATCTGCCAACGTTCAACCTGCTCTGGTACTAAACTACCACTGGCGTCATTGTTTGTTTAGAGAATGGGCTCTCGACCTATTCGGCGAATACGAGTTTAGACTAAGTCAATTGCAGACCGCGACTCGACCAGGTTTATGGATTTGCAATAATCTGGTTGGCTGATAAAATCCATAAAAGGACCAGGTTTCTGGCCTCAGAAAACCTGATTAGACGTACTTCGATTCAGCTAAAAGTTTACTTCGTATACGGTTCTATTCTAATTATATACTGGGCTAGCGTACGGTTGCTGAAGACTACAGCTCTCTAGTCTCTTATCGTATTCCCTATTATATAATACTAGATGGCACCCGGTAGTAGGTTAAGTTTTGCTATCCAATAATAACCCACAGGCCGAAAGTATATGGATGGACGGTGTTCCTCTCCGCGCGAGATCTCAGTCAAGCTATACGCTGAACCAGAAGGTGCGAGTCTCGTAACCTGCCTGGATTCTGTACTCAGTATTTCGCCTCAAGGCTCGATGTGGAAGCTTGAAAAGATACCATGAGGGATCTCGACACGTCATGATAAACCTTGCCCAATAACTTTGTAGCATTTCAAACGCCATTTGTGTCATGTGATTCCTGTTGCGGCAGGGTGCCAAGCCCAGATTCTGGGCCTGGCTACTGCAACTAATCTATGGTTAAGTTCACGAAGAGAACAGAATTTCGATTTGCCGCACAATTTGCCCCCGCTTGTGATTCATATGCTGAATCTTGGCCGAATCTATACAAAATGCAGGATGTTGTCGTAAAATGGCGTTTTTTGTCCCCAAATCTGAAGATATCTTTCGATACCCTTGAATATGACGCCCATCAGTCCTGAAGAAATCACCGCCGCATTTGAATTACTGGATAACGTAGGAGCCACCGTCAATACAATCGCAATCAACCTTGGAGCCAATAGGCTCGACAGGAGGAGCTTCCGGAAATATCTTTGCGATTACGCCGAGCGCGCTGCGTCCGATGGCCAACTCGTCTATGCTTCGAAGGGAGACACCCCTCAATGTGCCAACCGTGGCTTGCTTCTAGCATATTCCCATATGGAGTTGATATGCTGGCTTGCAACAAACAACTATACTATCTCATCTACGTCCGTCAAATGGTACAGCTGGAGAAAAATATACTCGAAATACCGGATCCCCTTACTTGGGATTTCGCCGCAAAAGTCCCATTTAAAAAGACAATTGCAAAACATCAAGACTACAGCAGATCGAGTATACGCGGAAGTTGATGGGAAAAATGTAAGCATTTCCTATATCTCTTTGAATGTAACCTAACAAACGACAAGATTCCTTTCTTACAAGGCTCTGTGAAATACCGCAAAGTCTCAGTGTGTCCGCCGGTTGATCCTCCACCAGGTGTGTTCATACTCTTTCATTTTGCACGATGAAATCCGCGTTTCTAAGTTTTCTTTCGGTCATAGGAATGGACGATCTTGTTCATCGGGCCACCCTTGCCCACAAGAAGCTCTCCCAGTGATCCGAGCTTTTGCACTTGACTTTCAAGCTTTGGAGAAATAAGACAAATACGTTGTACTTTCGAAATACGATATATTTCCAATGTATTACCAACAACCTTTGTCACGCTCAGAAATGATAGTCGGTCACATGTACAAATCTATGATCAGACAAGAGCACTCTAGCACAGCAAAGTTCGCGGTCTCACGATATAGCTTACGATGACAGAATGTAAACCTCGTATGGTCTTAAACTCGAACCAATGAATCATATCTCAGGTGCCAAAGTTAATCCAATCAGAACCCCATTCTCGTTTTCGTCATGGCGGTTTTTTCGGTCCATGGCTTGACATTGTAATCTGACCATTGAGAAAGCTTGAAACATACGAGCGATGATATATATGAGAACGATCATGGAGTAATGCTCTACAAAATTGTTAGATAAAATACAAACAGCTACTAAAAGCGAACACCTACTGCCATGACATATTCTAGGTCCTTTGTTGAATGGAATGAACCCGGGCATATCTCCTACCAGATGTTCCCATCGTTCTGGTTGGAACTCCTCCGGTGCGACTCCCAGAAAGCCAAAAAGAGGAATATAATCGAAACCCAATGTATGATTCCGTCTAACGCAGTAGTCACAATACGCAACTGGTTCCACTGGAAGTCCCATCAACCATGATACGCACCGGGGTATGGGGGTCACTTTGAGCAAACAGATGATGTTTTCTCTTATTCTAATCTAAAAACCCCGAAGAATTCCATGCCGAGAAATTAATCTCTGCCACTATTAACTGAAATACCCCCATCCCTCCAAACCCAAGCCGATGTCCTCAGCATGTTGAAGATACCGAGGTCTTCAGGTGATGTTAGTATCTTGAAAGAGAATCAAAGTATAGGTGTTTAAAATTGTCAATAATGTCCGTAAACTTTCATCTGTTGATGAATTATTTCGTTGGATAGCACCACAAGTCGCTCCACCCCTTCCAGCATCCTTCAGCATACGGGTTGAAGCCAAATGCATCGCAGCAATCTTGATTCGGCTTGTTGTCGTAGTACTTCTCGCTACACAGATTATGAGCTGATACATCCTTAGTCGTTGATACTTTTTTGCTTCCGTCGGGGTGCTTGTATCCGATAACCTGGTAATCTTCTCCACAGGCTGTCCAATAGCATCTCATAACCTGATCTGTACCTAGTATGTTGTACAGCATACCCTAACCCCACCGAGCTTGCATAACTATTGCATTACCCACTTGTGGCTCCTATTATTAACCCACCGATCAGGTCGTCTTCCTCAATGGATTGACTAATAATGGCCCTTGAGACAGGGGCAAGGAAGTGAATCTAACATTTTTATGTATGAGCGCTGGGTAACACAACAAGTAGGGAAATATTCTTATGTACATTGAATATACAGTTATGTAGACTAGACATATTCAGCTAAGAAATTCCACGCCATGTAGTCTCGGCCTAATGATAAACAGGGGCAGCCAAATCCCTTCTATAAACATATGTTGTACAAGATGTATGGGGCATAAATATTAGACTGTCCCCCTGACAACAATTCTGTCAATATAAATCCCACTAATCTTTTTATAGCATTTTTTGCCGTTTTTAAACAATCGAGTACTATACCTATTTTACACTAATTACATTATCCATCCATGGAAACCTTTCATCTGACTTGTTTACTAAGCACAATTAAGGGTCACTGGGTAATCACCCAGTGAGCAGGAACATGCAGCCGGGCATGTACATTCAAAAGCCTTAAGCCGAGTTAAATTTCCACAGAGTCAACATAAGCTTTCATGGGAACATTCGTAAACTAGTGGCCTTGGCTATAGGTGAATTTGATAGCAGAGAGAGCACTAAAAAAGTGAAATATATATATTCACAGATCATTTGCGATTGACCACCTTCTGCCTAATCGTTTCACTTCTTCGATGGAAATTTTGATTTTTGGTTTGGAAATGTCATCTATTCTTTTCTAAACCACAAGACAAACGAGTCAAGGTGCTAGTTCTAGACGCCAGACGTTGATGAATCCATTTATTTTGCATGCATTTATATCTAAATCGAACATCTAATACATATCTTTCAGCCCGCTCTACTCTGAGCCCAGCAGATCAGAAAGCTTATCCAAGTAAGCATGAGGCCTGACATCACCAGAAACAAAGTCCTCCTTAGAAGAGACACCAGTCAAAACACCCAGCGTACCACCAAGCTTCCCCTCAAGTCCAAAGCGAATATCCGTATTCGCGCGATCACCAACCATGCAGGCCCGGCTACGATCAAACTTGAACTTGCCCTCGATGGAATCCATCATAGCCTGGCTAGGTTTGCCGAGCGCAATTGGCTCCTTATTCAACATCATTATCAACGGCGCGCTCATAGAGCCAGCGCCAGGGAACAGAGACCCAGAGCTCGGGAGGGTGGAGTCGATGTTCGTAGCGAGGAAGACCGCTCCGCGTCTGATGTAGTGGTATGCCAAGGCCATCTTGAGGTAGTTCATGTGGAAGTCGAGGCCAACGAGCACGACTCCGACTTCGGGGTCTATGATGGATTCATCGCCCGCCGCAATCTTCTTGTAGTCGTCTGGTGTGACGTCGCGGCGGTATGCGGGGTCTGTGCCGCCAATGAATGGGACGTTCTCGGAGCGGAGCTCTTGCTCAATGCCTGTCTCGCCAATCACGTAGACTTTGCGCTTGTTTTCGGGGAGCTGGAGGATGCGAGAAATGTATATAGAGGAACTGTATGATGAGGAGAAGATCTCTTCCTATTTGGTTGTGAGTCACGCGGCATCTGACATGGTAATGGTTGGTATCACTGACCACTGTACTGGGAATTCCCAAGCTTTCCAGTTTCTTGCGGTAGTCTGCGCGCGACTTGGTGCTGTTATTCGTCACGAAGACCACTTGCTTTCCTGCGGGGATTATCAACCTCCGCCTTTTGCCGACTTGAGAATTAATGCGCACCATTGTTTCGGAGAAGCTCCAGTGTCTCCACTGTTCCGGGGAAGAGGTGGTCGCCGGACCATAGAACACCTAAATTATCATGGTCTCAGCGGTTGTTGCGACGCGGCGGGGTGGCTGCGGGGGACCTCCGCGGAGGGACAGCCGGGGTAGAGCGAGCACGGGGGACAGACCATCACAGTCGAAGAGGAATACCTGTACACAATCAAATCAGTAAATAGAACACTTCTGGTACATCAATGCGATCAAAAACGTGTACTAACATCAAACTTGGCCAGGAACTCCTGGAGGCCGGCCTTATCGCCGGTCAGGTAGCGGGGCGCGATTTGAGAGGTTTCTTGCGCCATGGTACCGGTAGGATCGGAATGCAGAGATAAAGTACAGTAAGAATGAAGATCACAAAGGTAACGAAGGGAAGAAATCAGATTTGAAGTAGATCGGAGCAATGGCAAGAGTCCGTACAACCCGAAGCGACTCCCCGGTGAATTGCGGGGCTCTTTATCTTCCTTGGCATTCGATCGTCAACTATCTACAACATGCAATATACAACATGCCTAGGTCTACTATTTTCTAGGCAGCGCAGTCAAACTGAACTTTCTCCTTTTTTTGCACCACCCTGTTTCCGGGCCCCGGGGATTGGAACCGCCCAATTTCCGCCAAACCCACACTTAGTTGGCCAGTCCAACTATGAGGGAGCGTAGCGTGACTAGGGAAAGCTTGGGAAGATAAATTGGTGCCGGGGTCAGACATCAACTAGAAATTGCTCTAGTAAGGCACAGGCTGAAAGCGACATGTTTTGAGGCAGAATGTATGTAGGGGTAATGGTGTAGGGATAATGGCACTTCCAAGGTTCCCAGCACACAAGACATAAGCATGCTAAAATGCCCAGATGCCTACCAAAGAATGTAATGATGTACCTAATTGTGTATCCGTCGGTTAAGGCGTCGATTTGACCCACGATAGTTACAACTGTAGGTTGAGTGACATCCATTCCCACCTGATCCCCGAGGAATACCGGGTGAAAGTCTTAACTTCGATGGTCGCACAAGTTGAATCCTGCCACCAGCACAATCGAGTGGATATATAAACGACACCAAATTGTCACCCAGGGCCTAAGCGTGTCGTAATGAAACAAGCACAAACCCATTGAGCATGCGTTTTGTTGTATTGGTTATAGCTTCATGCTGTGCCTTAATCTCTTGGAAATGGTTCGTTCCTGGGAGGAACTAGTGGAGCAAGATGACCAGCAATATAGGGGACAAAGGCTCTGTAGCAGTCTGCGACAAGAAGAAATACTGTCACATATCCCATTTATAAAAAATCGGAGAGCAATCTGTGCACATCATACAGTAGGTCCTCGAGGCTGCCGGGGCTGCTGATTCGAACAGACCCTATCAAGGTTGAAATAAATGGTGACTGGTCAGTTGGCTACTCACCTGGCGATTCCACACAAGCCCGTACACCCAGACACTTGGGTATGTTCGAGCAGAACCCAGATTGAAGACCAAGAACAACGACCAGAAACATATTAATGACCACCGGCCACCTCCGTCCACATTGGTCGGCCAGGACTTCGAAAACAATAGCCTCGAATGATTGAAGTATGAATATCGCAGTCATTTCTAGTAGCTTTACGGGTATGTCGAGTCCGGTGATCATGCTCAAGAGATGTTTGTAGCAGGCTTGGACACCCTCAAAATTGGGAGCACAAGGCACGCTTCCCTCTACAAACACATTCCGGAGGATGCATAGCACTTTTTCAAACAAGCTCCATGTCATATTGGCTGAATATAGGATAGTTAAGTACATGAATGATATGCTACCAAGCTTGGGTTATTTAGTGAATTATGGATACGGACGAAAATTCGCACACAAGCTAGCGAGCAGGTTAGTATGTCTGTTGGTGTATCTCCTTTGGTTTTTATTTTATTTGGTTTCTTTTTCCCCTTGAAGACCGCGATGATTAAAATTGCTTGGGATATATAGTTCTATTTTGTATTCCTTCCCCTCTTATATCAGTCGAGTACAACTTGAGTGCTTCACACATGGAGTGGTTAGGAACACACTTTTTAGTATATTCCAAATATTCTCTTCCAAACCAGTGGCTTCTCACCTCTTTGTATCCTCCATTTATTCGTTGACTTGAGAATCTCAGGACAGCCTCGCAGAAAAAACCCCCACTTCATAGCAAATTCCTCCGTGACCTCCCAATTCTCCGGACAAGACGGTACTCCCCAGACGAGTAACCTGGCATTACTAGTGCGAGTATCCCAAAACGCCGTAAGGTCATGGCACAATTCATCGTCATCAAGATTATCTCCTGCTTGAATGAGGTTGTCACGAAGCCGAGGAAATGGAAAAATATCAAGCCATGGATGATGTGGTGTTGAGCGTTGTAGATCTGTCGGACGCAGGTTTGAGGGGATATTATCCTCGAGAAGCCGAGGACCTTGTATACTGAATATTGAAATGATATCGTCTTGACAAAGCCACTCCGCGGTCATTCCCACGGCCATGACATTATCATAGGCTGCCCGAAGGACATTTAGTCTGCTTAGACTGATTAAAAGATCCGTCTTTGGCGAGCCCTCGAGATAACTATCCAAGGCTCTTTTTTCGAACTCGTCCATGAGAGCGTGTATGTTCGGAGGGGCAAATGTGCACTGCGAGTGTTGTGCCTCGCATAATGTGCATATGATTGGATTTAGGCGTGACTTCGCCCCGCCATTCACTAGTGCGAGGGTAGAAGTATCTCCAGTTGTAGGGGCTTGTGGTGCATCGCTTGTTTGCTTTTTACTTCGAGCACGTGCCTCGAGACGCGCTCCTGGATTCAGAAGAAACTACCGTGTTAGCTAGGTACGATTGATATCAATTATGTCATAGCTGATTGAAGATCTTACGGTAGGCTCTCTGATTTAGACGGTTCTGTATTCTCCGGCGTAAAGCCGGGCTAGTAACCCCCGTTAAATCGTCATCGGGAGAATAAGAGCTCGTTGAGGCGTTTGAGACTGGGGCGCTTGATGACATTGGGATTTTCATATGACGGGGATGCGAGGAGATTACGAAGGTTGACATGGGAACCTGGGAAGGTCGAGTGCAGAGCGATTAATCATCTCGAAAGGGTCCACAGGCATCAATTGTCTGGGTTCCAACTGTCTCAGTGTCCCGGGTAGGAACCTTAGAAGGCCTTACCTCGCAAATATTCCTAGGTTTTCCCCACAGATCACCCATATCACCCAATGAATTTCCTCATGCTTGAGTCTCCCCACATATTATGCTTTCTTTTGAAACCTAAGAAAACCTTGGAATCCCGGCTGCTTACCCCAAGATGTTCATTGGTCAAATAGCCCCGCAGTCTGCTTACATATAGACTTTCATTGGTCACCTAGTTAGTTGCTCCACACTTGGGATTACCTGTACCTAGTATACATAACTACTCTGTAGTTACATAGCTAATATCCGATTCGATACAGAACCTGCAACAAATCACGGAAGATTTGGGAATTGAGCATGTTGTATGATGCATAAGCTTTAATTCTAGACGTGTGATCTACAAGCTCAACGTGGGAAAGGGTTTACTTTACAATTCCAGATTTTTCGCATGACTCGATTATATTTCAAGTTCACTAGAACTAAGAAACACCATCACTTGCTAATATTTACAAAAGAACTTTGAGCAAGGTGTCGCCAATTACAGCCCCACTCGGTGGGTTTTGACCAGTTACCAACTTCCCACCTTTGCCGCTAACGACCACCTTCACACCGAATAAGCCATCGGCACTCTCATACTTTCCTCCACGGTTCCGCAGCTCGGTTTCCAAAAGGAATGGCATGTCTTTGGTGAATTGCATAGCTTCTTCCTCTGCATCGGAGAGACCAGTAACCACCTGGTCAGAAACGAGATATGTCCCATCGGACAGCTTGACATTCACAAGAGCAGCTGGGCCATGGCATAAGGCGGAGACAACTTTGCCAGACTCGTAGAATTCACGAATCAAAGACTGGGAATTGGAGTCATTTGCAAGGTCAAACATTGCTTTAAATCGTATGTTAGAGGCTAATTTGGTGTAAAGTATTCTGGATTCAAGGCAGGTGGTGTCAACTCACGGCCATGTCCACCAACGTAAAAGATTCCGGCAAATTCAGCCGATCTTCCGAGCAACGAAGACAATTTCACTGTTTCTGCCCAGACATTCTTATTTTCCCTCAAGAATGCTACGCACGCGGGGTCATCTTTGGTGGATTCAATGGAGTAAGGATTCAATGGTGCCTCCCCACCAGCGGGAGAGGCAACGACGATGTTGAAATGCGGCGCCAACTTGTTGTAAGGATGGACAAGCTCTGGCAGGTACCAGCCAGTAGGGGTCCCTCGACTAGGCAAGATGGCCTGAGAGGTGAGGACAAAGAGGAAGTTGGGTCTTTCAGACATCTTGATAAGGAGTTTGAAAGATGGGAAGAAGAGGTGATGAAGAATGTAGGAGATTAGCAATAGCAATACAGTTTATTGTACTCGCAGGTTTTGCAGTTGTTTACTAGCGTTTCTTCTTTAATATTTTATAGAACAGACGGTTGTCTTAGCAGAAGTCCCGAAGGGGCCAAGACTTGCGCGATTTTACAAAAAGAACATGATCTTACAAATCTTCACCAACGAGAGTTTCGGCGGAGTTGTGATAAATCCGTTGCAAAATACCGAGTATATTCGAGTGGAACAAAAAATGAATAAAATCAGGTGCATTTCTTGGATCATTTTGCTTACATGCTTACCCCCCACCTAGTGGAACTATTCGAGCCTACCTTGTACATCCTTAAACCCTAAAACCTTGAATCCTATGTGGATATCATATGGTTGTTTGTAAGCATCTAAGTAACTGATTTTTGAGGGAAGTTTCTAGTAAAACAGGCAGCCTTTTGAGAATTGTCGAATATAAGTACCGGAGTTTGGTCTGGTAGAAATCCATTGTACCCAGAGTCAGATCTTACTTCCTTGCCACTACCCGCATCACCACCTTTATTTCATCTTCCACACCAGACTCCTGACAACTACTCGGCACCATGACCTTCACTATTACTGTCCTCTTCCCCAACCAGCCTGATGCCAAGTACGACATTGACTACTACACATCGCACCATATGCCTCTAATCAAACAAAGCTGGGCGAAGTATGGAGTGCAAAATTGGTCCGTAACCACTTTTTCCCCCGGTCCCGATGGGGCACAACCACTTTACGCGTTTGGTAGTGTTGTTGTTTGGGAGAACAAGGAAGGGGTTGAAAAAGCATTCGCAAGCCCCGAAGTGGCTGAGGTCATGGGCGATGTTCCGAAATTCAGCAACAAGGAGCCGGTATTCTTGTTTGGCTCGCAAATCGAGGCACCGAAATAAATGCCTTTGGAGTGAGGTACGTCATCCTGATTTTTGGTTAGCATATATTTAACTTGCCAATGGCCATTGGAATTGTCTCTAATGTAAGGTATAGGGATGAATACATTGGCGGTCTCATTGCGATTTGAACCACATCTATCCACGCCAAATCTTGACTTTTGGGTTTTCCTGTGAAGAACCGAAATTTTACACACTGTTTACTTTTGCCTGTCGTTATAATACCATGAAAGAGGACCAAATTTGTGTTCAGGAGCTTGACAATGTCACCCTAAATAAGTTTGAACATGGAGCCTATGTATTATCATAATCCCTGAAGCTCCCAAGGGTTTCTTTGCTAGAAGAGGGCAATCCTCTTGAAGTATATAACGATGTGTAATTGATGGATTCCGAGTTCACAAGTATCTCCTTTTCCGGCGAAGCTCCAATATACCCGATAGTGCAGTCGTGGGTCCACATGTAAGCAAGCCGCAGGTGGTAATAACTCTTTTTCTGGTCACCACATGAACGCAAACTTAACTCCGGCGAAGCTTTTGATTTACTTACAAATACGATAAAATAAAAGAAGATGAAAGAGGGGGGAAAGCATAAAAGACTTGCATCGGCCCATGAGTCTCAATCGAAGAAGCAATTCACGCATCTACATAATTTATTTTACAAAGGGTATCTCGCCGGAAATCTTCCAAAATGAGCGTGGCTACGCATCCTGCAGTTATAGCGCCTGGTATCAAGCAGCCCTTAAAAATCGAGCAGATTACCACCCCAAACGTCCAACCTTCGGAGGTCCGCATTCGTGTAGAATGGGTCCCATCAGCCCCCCTAGATGTCTTCCAGGTTGATGCGGGATTGATGGCTTCATTCCCACAAAGCCTTGGTGACACTGCCGCTGGTACGGTGACAGCAATCGGCAGTCAAGTTGACCATCTCAATGTTGGCGATAAAGCATTTGGGTTTTTCTTCCACAACGAGAAGGAGAAGGCTCAACAGATTTATGCTACAGTTCCCAAACACCTACTTGGTAAAGTATGCCTGTTCTATCCATACTTAAAATTCGAAAATTCGGGTTCTAAACAATGATTTAGGTCCCGGAGGGCGTTTCTCTAAAAGAAGCGGCAACTCTGCCAAACAACTTCTGTACCGCATTCATTACCCTTCGTCGAAACCTTGGTATCGATCTCCCGTGGCCTCATGAAGAGGAGTTCGTTCCTAGCGAACAGCATGCTCCCATCCTTGTGTGGGGAGCATCCACTTCCGTTGGTCAATACGCAGTACAGATCTTGAAACATTGGGGCTATAGCAATGTCCTTGCCACAGCCTCTCCGCGCCATCATGATAAGATCAAACGTTACGGTGCGAGGCAAATGTTTGATTATCAAGATAGCACTGTGGTCGAGTCAATCAAACAGTTCCTTGAAGCGGAGGATGGACAAAGCCAAATCCGTGTCTTTGATTGTGTGGACTCCAAGTTTGGTTCACTACGTCCTATCTCGAAGATAGCAGTCCAACCTGGGTCGGTCGTAGCTGCCTTACTTCCAGTTGTTATCAACGCCCCATCTGTGAATCAATCCGATCCAAGCATTGAACTAGCTTTTGATGTATCCACGGCAGCAGATTGGGCACACGGAGTCGAAGTACACAGCATCGCAAGCTATGGCTACGAGGAGGTAAGAATATCGCTCTAAAGTTTTTGAATAAACAATTCCATCTGACCATTTGTCTCCACAGGATGCTTTTCTAAGAGATCATCTCCAACGCGATATCATGCCTACACTGCTTGGAACAGGTGCTATCGAACCGAACAGTCAACGGGTAGTTGAGGGGAGAACGCTTCTTGAAAGGGCCACGAAGGCCTTGGGTATTATGAGAAGTGGGACAGTCAGCGGAGAGAGGCTGGTTTGGAGGGTTTGGACACCCGAAGAGTTCCCTGAGTTTCAGTAGAAGTTATGTTGGAATGCCATTGTTTTGTTTCGATGGTGGATATTTGAATAGCATAATCCCTAAATAACCTCCAGGTAGAGCTCCGCAAAGCCCATAAAGCCCATAGCCCAGCCCAACCCAACCCGCAAATGGGCTTTGCGGAACGCTACTCCAGGGCTCCACGGCTCCAGTGGAACCTCCAGGTCGCGAACCTCGGAAGATCTCGCGGAACCCACATCATCCCCAGATCGTCCCGTAGGTGTTCCTATCTCCATCTTAACAGTGGCGTGCCGTTAACCTGGGCTTATGAATTGGTGATATCGTCCTGATATACCGTACTTGTTGAGGTTCACCGGGTGAGTATCGCTCGGGTAAGAAATGAGTGAGAAATACCGTGCGATTGCCGCATTGAAACTTCTAGCTGATCTTGGGTCTAATATTATCGAGCGAAACGCTCAATCTCTTAGTACTGCATACATCCACTAGAGAGAGCCCATGGGTGCCCGACCTCTATTCGTATTATGTCAGCCTCTTTAGGGGGCTGTGGTGTGCGTTGGTCATTCCTTCCCTGTCGTGGGATGGGGAAAATTAGACAATAACCCCCCCCGTCTGTAGCACGGACTTCTTCCTTCTGATATTTCGTTTTAAATGAAGCCATGACTTTGAAAGTTAGTAAGCTAAAAGGTTCTTCCGTTCAAGAAGCAGGTCACAAACTGGAGATTCAGCTTCACGACAAGCAGAATCGCCGTCCAGTTCTCTCTCGCAAGGAAAAGCTCAGAAAAAGACACATTCACAAGTTACACAGCTACCTGGTGATCTAAGCCCTTCATGTTCTCAGCAGATGAATGATAAGCTGTGGGCGGAAGCCTATAGCCGTCTTTCCAACAAAGAACAAGAAGTGATAGCGAGGTCTTTGACGGCCGACCGAGGTGACATTGTTTTGATACCGGAAATCCTTCTGCGAGATGTACGAGTCAAACGAGAAATCTGCGATAAAAAGAGCTGGACCTTCCGATGCGGCGACCGCACCGTTCAATTGAGGGATACGGCAGGTAAAGTTCTGGACTGGCTGGACAAATTCAAGGCAGCAGGAGACATCGCGTCGAATGTCGATCCACTCCATGCTGGGGTGCCCTGGGCCGGCATTAGGTTTTTAATCCAGGTACTTGTGCCTTTGGCTTGCGCTTTCCAATCTCTAACCTGACGCAGGTGGTTCAATCAGAGCGAAACCAGATGGAAGCTCTTTTCCGTGGCCTTAATAGGATCTGCTATATCCTCTATAGGTGCCGAATATATGAAGTTCTCCTCTAATCATCCCAGGGCTCGTCTCAAGCACGCCAGAACCTCCAATTGGCTTTGACGGAATTCTACACCATCATATTGAGATTCCTGGCACAAGCAGCTCATGTCTACGAAAAGAGTTCTCTGCAAAGAGCCTTTACTGCATTCTGGTCACCTGATGACATTCAAGCCTTGGAGAACCAATGCCGAGAGCTCGAAACTCGTGCAGAAATCGAAGCACAGAACTGTGACAGATCCGCATCATCTGAAGCACGGAAACTTCTCCTCGAACTGCCGATGATGAAAGATTTAACGGACTCAATTTCTTCCACAGTTACTGCTATTTGGAAAACTCTACAGGAAAAAGAAGCCGGAAAGATCCTCAAGTGGATTTCTGAAATTCCGTACGAGGATCATCACAAGACTATTCGTAAAGGTCGCACAGCCAACACTGGTGGATGGATATTTAACCATGGACAATACAAGAAGTGGGAATCATCTAAAAGGTCAACAATATTATGGTTGCACGGCATTCGTGAGTCACCCTAGAGCTACTGGGGCCCGAGGGATACAGCTAACATTTACTCACCAGCCGGCGCCGGCAAGACCAAGCATATTTCTCGAGTCATCGACCATGTTACCGATCATTTATCAGACAATGCCATAGCTTACTTCTATTGCAATCGCTACGAGGCTTCACGTCGCAAACCAACGCACATCCGGGAAAGTTTTGTCAAGCAACTATCCACGTCTCCATCGGGCGGTGCTATTCAACAGGCTCTCGTTGATGCCTATAATGAGAACCAACGCAAAGGCGCAGCATCAACTAAGCTGAGTCTTGAAGAGAGCGAAAGCCTTGTTCTTGCATTGACTAAAGCTTATTCCGAGACAATATTAATTCTGGATGCCCTCGATGAAACTGATGTAGAAGATCGAGAAGATCTCATGGAGGCAATAGATCGCTTGGTATATCAATGTGCCAATCTGAAAGTTTTGATTTCTAGCAGACGCGATAACGATATCACGCGACGGCTTAAATTGAATGCAAATCTCAGTGTTGAGGCTACCGACAATCGAGATGATATCAGCAAGTTCGTCCGGGAGAAAATCGAGGATGCACAGCAAGGCCGACACCGGAACAAGCCTATCTCCGAGAAACTACGAGATGAAATCGTTACAACTCTTTTGGAGAAGAGTGAAGGGATGTAAGTTGTCATTACTCTTGATTCCATTTCGCGATCTCCGCTAATTGGAGCTATCTAGGTTCCAATGGGCAGCGCTGCAAATCAAGGAAATTCTAGATCTTCAACTCGAGAAAGACATCCGGGAACGATTGGGACGGTTGCCGAGGGGCTTGCAGGCAGCGTATGCTGCGATTTTCAAAAGAATCAAAAGATCTGGGGGAGCATGCCGGAAATTGCCGACCGAGCATTCCAATGGGTCCATTTCGCCTCCGAACCGATATCTTCAGATGCATTGGTTGCATTTGTGAGTCGGGACATGGCGGATGGAAAGACCAAGCATGCCGACTTGGATATACACGATGTGCTTGATGCCTGTTGCAATCTTTTGGACGTCGACAGGCATTCTGGACTCTGCCGTTTCTCGCATTTGTCAGTACAGGAATACTTGGAAGAGCACCATTACCAGACAAACAGATCTGTCACAGGTGGTAGCTCTCATGATGGGCTGGCAATGGTGACGATCCAATGTCTGCTTGAAACCAATGATATCAAGATTGCAAATGAGACGCTTGCCGAGGCATCTTCACTGAGATATGCGGCAAAATTCTAGCATCTTCATGCTAGAAAGTCTTACAACATAAACATTTCAGAGCGTTTGAAAGGTTGTGTCAACATGATGTTTAGCAAGGAGTTCTCTACGGCATATTCGAATTGGCTATACATCCACGATTGCGACCAGGATGATTCCGACGAGGATGATTCTGATCGGGATGCAGGGGCAATTTCTTCCCAGCACGTGAGTGAAATATTACCTGGACCATTATATTATGCGTCGAGATTCGGCTTTGAGTTCTCTGTTGAGAAATTACTCAGAGAAGGCGCAAAAGTGACCCGAGAAGGCAATCTCAGGAGCCCCATTGTGGTGGCGGCTGTTTACAGTCACGCAGGGGTCCTGCGTCAGCTGCTGGATGCTGATGTTTCGCAACTTATTCAGGTGGAGGACATGCGTTTCATTATGAAGAATATTGACGGGGATCTGACAGAGACGATGATGGTTTTGCTAGGTTCGGGAGCTTTTCATCTTGAAGAACTGCACAACTCGCGACAGAATATGACAGAAAGAACAACTTGGGAAGATGCAATCACTGCCGCAGCAAGAAACCCAAGGAATGGAGACAAGATCATAACAATTCTTCTCAAGGAGTGGGGATCTGGTGTCTGTATTACGGAGGATATGGTCAAGGCAGCGGCAGGGAATAGGGAGAGCGGAGATAAGGCCATGGAAATTCTCTTCAAGGAGTGCGGAGCCCATATTTCTATCACAGATGATGTGATGAAGACAGCTGCAAGGAATGAGTGCGGGGATAAGGTGATAACGATTCTTCTTGACAAGCGCGCCGATACCCCGATAATAGAGGATGTGATGATAACCGCGGCAGAGAATGAGAGTTGCGGAGACAGACTTGTAACGATTCTCCTCCGCTATAGAGGTGATATCCCGATCACAGAGAATGTGGTTAGAGCAGCGGCATGGAACCATAGTAGCGGGGGTAAGATCGTAGCCAAGTTCCTTGAGGAACGCGGGACCGATCTCCCTATCACGGAGGATGTGTTGAAGACAGTAGCGTTAAATTCCTGGGAGGGCGGAGACATCATAACCATCCTCCTCGAGAAATATGGAACCGATCTCCCTATCACAGAGGGTATTGTCACTGAAATTGCTAGAAGGTTTAACGGAAGAGTGATGGGGATTCTTTTCGAGAAATACGGAACCGATCTCCCTATCACAGAGGATGCAGTCCAGGCAGCAGCAAGGAATTGGAGGAACTGCGACGACGTTATAGCCGTCCTCCTCGAGGAGCGCGGAGCCGATATCCCTATCACAGAGGGTACCCTCGCTGAAATTCTCAAAACGTGTAACGAAAGAGTGATAAGGCTTCTCCTTAACAAAGGCGGAACCAATATCCTTATCACCGAGAATGTGGTCCTGGCAGCAGCGAGGAATTATTCGAGCGCGGAAGATATCATGACTATCCTCCTCGAGGAGCGCGGAGCCGATAGCCTTATCACAGAGGGTACTGTCGCTCAAATTGCTAGAAGGTTTAGCGAAAGAGTGGTGATGATTCTTTTCGAGAGATGCGGACCCGATATCCCGATCAAAGAGGGTACTTTCGCTCAAATTGCTAGAAGGTTTAGCGAAAGAGTGATGATAGTTCTTTTCGAGAAATGCGGACCCGCTATTACAATCACAGAGGATGTGGTCGAGGCGGCGGCGATAAATTATTCGAGCGGAGAAGATATTATGATCATTCTCCTCGAGGAGCGCAGAGCTAATATCTCTATCACGGAGGGTCTTGTCGTTCGAGTTGCTAGAAGGTTTAGTGAAAGAGTGATGATGCTTCTTTTTGACAGACGAGGATCCGATATCCCTGTTACCGAGGAGGTGGTTCAGGCAGCGGTACGGAATTGTTCGAGCGCGGATAAAGTGATGACGGTTCTCCTTGACAAACGCGGGGCCGATATCCCGATCACAGAGCGTGTAGTTAAGGCAGTGGTGGAAAATTACTCGAGCGGACAAGAAATCCTGACTATTCTCCTTGATAAATACGAAGCCGATGTTCCTATCACAGAGGATGTGGTCAAAGCAGCGGCGAGGAATTATTGGATCGCTGATAAACTGATGACGGTTCTCCTCGACAGACGCGGAACCAATATCCTGATCACAGACAACGTGATCAAAATCGCGGCAGAGAACGAAAACTGCGGGGATAGGCTTATGGAGATTCTCCTCCGCCACAGAGCCGATCTCCTGGCGACAGGGGATGCGGATGAGGCAGCGGCAGGGAATCATTCAAACATGTTGTTCAGCCGAGACGCGAGGTTGATACCGGGCGAGTCTGAGTTTACTCTGCCATCAATGCCGCGAGCAATTGAGGAGCCCACCACAGATCCAACCGAGTCTCCGAGAGCGAACTTTCACGGATACATGCGTGTCTTGTACCCCTTTCAATTGATTAAAGATTTCTCTCCTTCGACAAACAAACTTCCGTTGGATCAGGGAGACATGATTATGGTTGATTCTATTAGCCCCAGTGGCCGGGCCATTGGCACGGTATTGGATTCTGATTCTGCAGAATATGGCTGGGTTCCCACAGATTATTGCGAAATGTATGATGAACTACCTATGCGCCCTCTCCTCAATGCCTTGGCCGATTTACGGGATACCATACGAACCGGATGCATTTCATCATTGAGTGATCTTGAAGACCAAGATTTCATGCGAAGCCCTAACGCTGGTGTCCGTTTTCTTCTGGTAAGTCCCTTATGAGCAAGCAAAGACTTACGAAAGAACAGCACTGATTGCTCCGCAGGAGAAATCTGAATGTCTTATTCCAGAAGCCCCGCTGGTGAAGAAGTACGATGTAGTTCGGAGGGTCCGCAAGGCCCTGGTTTCAGACCTTTCTTCAATGTTCATCACCACCAAGCAGGTCCAAGATTCCGTTAGCAGAGGGTATTCCGATGAAGATGTGAAGGATATTCTAGACGAGATACTGATCAAATTCTTTAAGATCATCATTCGTGGCGTCCAATTTGTTGATGTATTGGATGAGGTTAGCCCGAGCAGGACCCCGGTCGAAATGTTTGTCTCCGGTCATTGATGATGATTCTGCTAGGAAGGGTGGTGACTTTGAGCTTTTCTTTTATTTTAAATTTATTCGTTCTCAAGTATCATGACCTATCTCATATTGAAGGCTCTAGGCAATCAATTTACATGATTGGTTGATCATCAGCGAGTAATGCACTTTCGAATTATCTGTATACTAGCTTGGAATAAAGCTAGGACTAGGAATATTTTGAGGTCAATTGGGCTAGGGAGTCAAGACAAATTGGTATGGGATGCACGGAATGGTGAAATGATGACATGTGCCGATCAATTAGTCGTAGTGAAAATATGAAAATAACTCAACTTTTATGTCAACGATCTTGCAGCCAATCCATAAACACCATTTCCTTCCATTGTTCACAGTCACAGGCCTGAGAATCGGGCACAAGTAGACTGCCTAGGTATAGTTAGGGCCTTAGACCAAACTACTTACATATATATCACCCCACAAAGTCCAAAAGCATCCATACCCACCTGAACACATACGTATGACACAATATTAATATTAATCCAAGGTTCAATACTCCATCCAAGCCAAGAAAACCATGAAGCAAACATACCCGATGCAAAACCTAGATGTTCGTAGAATTATGACCCATCACCCGCGATGACATCTCACTAGTCATGCAGAACACACCACATTAGCGTACCAACCTACAGTACATGTCCCTTCCTCCACATGGAGCGAAATACATTATTTCCGAAAAGTCGGTGACAACTCTCATCCAAAATGAGGGGGTTATCCATCAGCCCAAAGCAGACTCCCCCAAAACCTGATTTAAGTCCTGCACAATATTCCACGAACTATCATCAACGAACAACTCATCGAGACGGACACCGCTAGTTCAAGGGAGAACTGCTTGTCGACACGAGGTTATGGTTACACGCACTCACTCGGTAAATGTACTTTTTTCTCGATTTTGCTGTTACACTAGAATCGACAAGGGGGCTCATTTCATGTGTCTGGTTTTACCCTTTACCCCTCATTGGGAATTTAGAATCCAGTTTGGTCTCCAGGCGACATACATTCTTTGGGACAGACAAGTCTGCACTATAAAGACCCTTACCCTTACACCATGTACCAATGGGAACATTCAAGTCCAGTGGGCGAGATGTGGGCTCGACGACTAGACTGGAACCGGAGTGGACTTAACATTTGACATGTGAAGGCAGGTGTGTATTAAATATGACTGGAATGATTGCCTGACAGTGGCGATCCACGTTGGTCATTTTGGGTTGCAGGATGTATATGCATACATGTAAGAAACTACGCATACTAGATGCAGCTATATAAATGGGCTTGATATAGGTGTTGTGCAGATAAGTTTAATTGCGGGTTACTTGAGTTTAACGATGCAGTTGAGTATGCAAGATTGAGGTGGTGAACCCGAAAGCTAGTATTGATGTTCATGAAATCCAATTGAGTGATAATTCGGATTAAAAGTCTATAGTATCGACAAAGCTCCCAAGGGTTTGCGAGAATACATAAAGAAATAAAACATGGTATGTAAGGAGAGCTTGGCAGGACATAAATGTCCAGGTAGAAATGAAATGAAGGAACATAGAAAATTGAGAGGCGAGTGAAGATAGAATGATCCAGTTGCAGCCAAAACAAGAAAAAAGGTGTAAAGCGAAGAGGGTATAGGTATGGATATGATATGTGGTCGTGAGATGTCATGAGATGAGTAGTGAGTGCTGAAAAACAATAATAAAAAAACAAGAAATGTCAACGTAGTTTCAGCATGGCAAAAACCAAACCCAAACCTCAAACCCATGGATTAGCCTGCACATAAGTATGTGGGTTGACGGGTCCAACCAACTTGATCTGAGCTTTCAACTGCTCTCTTCTGCGATCATCTTTCGACGTTGCAATCTTCTTCTTCGCGCCCAGGAACACCCCTCGAGTATTATGCTGGGACTGCTTCCGCGGCAGAGACAAAGAAGGGCTGGCCTTTGCATAGGATAAGGTTGGGGCCGAAGATGAAGATGGCTCTGCAGGCGAGCCGGGTGAAGACTTATATCTCGGGAACTGAACGTTCCGCTTCTTGGATTTGGGCGATTCCCAGATCACAGGGCCGTGTTTCTGGTACGCGGAAAGAGGAACCGCTAGTTGTTTCGGTCGGGGTATTGTGGGGGTTAAGAGCGAAGTAGGCGATGTTGGTGAGATTGGCGTTTGAAGGTGGAATTTGTGGTTGGTATAGTCATACTCGCTACTCGAGGATGTATCCACGGATGTAACTCGGACTGCGACATTCGTGTCCAAGACCAAGGGGGAGAGCTGTGGTGTCGGCGCTGTGCTACCGAGTGCACCTCCTGCATTATTGAGGTGGCGGTCCATGGGGGCTGTCGCCGGGCGGGGAATTTCCTTGGACTTATTATCTGCCGTCGAGTCGCGCGAGAGAGTGCGGTGGACGTAAGTCTTGATCGAGTCGCGCATTCCGCCGAGACCACCACGGTCGAGCGAATGCCAGCGGTATTTGCCCTTGGCGAAATCCAGTGGGTTGCCCATTTTACGGGATTTGTTGTTCGGTGTAACCATATTTGGGCTGATGCGGCCACTGGCCTGTAGAGCGGAAGGCGCCAATTCAGGGAAATAATCCCACTTTTTCTCACGGAAATAGTGATTTGTGCCCGTGCGATTTTGGGTCCAATGCGATGGACGTCCGTACTGTGTATCAGAAAATGAAGAAGAAACCGATGCTGAGGGCTCAACAATTGAGGGCGGGATATTGATATCGATCGAGTCCGTGCGTTTATGTGGAGGTTGCGGGGATAGTCTCAGAAGTTGATCGGCGGAAGGAGCCGGGTGATCGACCAAGTCGTCGAAGTCGGAACCAGAACTGACGAAGATGGGATAGCTATCTGCTGAGTGGCGGGGTTCACTTCCAGTAATGCTATCGAGTGTACTTTCGGTGTCGCTGTCGCTGGAGTCACTCCACATCGCCGAGCATTCTGGTTCTTCGGAGAGGGGTTCTGCGGGGAGGGGTTTGTTGAGAAAGAGATCAGAGCGGGTTGAGAAGGGATTTTGCGGTGATAGTGGTGAAAGTGGTGGGATTACTCGCTCAAGTCCTTCGAGTGAACGAGATGGTCGGACGGGGGGTGCCATTCGACTGTGATACGAAAAGGTTGGGGAAGGCATATTTGGGATTCGAGAAGGTCGAATCAATGGGGGGAAGTATTAAAAAATAATCCATCAAAGAAGGTTGATAAAGTAACAAAGAAAAGCGTGGGAGGAGTGAGTATATTAATATCGGATGTAAGGAGGAGTATATAAGATAATATATGAGATAATATATAAGATACGGTAATATCATATATCATATATACCATACCTAAAGCACAAACCACAAATGACAAAAAGACAAAAGTAAACATCGTCAAACGAACTGACGCAAGGACTTTGGATCGCCCTTGCTCCGCTTAACAGGCCATCTGATTGGTTTAAATTGGCTTAGACTAGATATACTTGGGCTTAATTCCGAGATATTTAGGGATATTTAGGGATATTTAGGCCTGACATGTTCCCTTTTTCCCTTTTCTCGCACTGTCCTCTTCTAGCTAAAGTTTGGCTGCCTTCTCTTCTAATCGGCCCAACTGACGAAGCTGAGCGATCATCTCCTCATCTCCAAAATGACTGTTATGTTCAAATTCCGGTTCCTGCGCGTATGCGACACGGGCTGCATCGACAATAATTCTGGCGGTCATACCAAAGATACGATAGACATGATCTTCCCCATGTTCATTAATTTCACGAACAAAGAACTGGTGCACTAGTGGCGTTCGTTAGTATCCACATGGCTTTCTTTCCTTTTGGCCCCCTATTTTCCCATTTAGGAAAACAAAGAAACTAAAATGAACATTCCTCTGTCATCCTCGGCATGGTTATCCCATATGGAAAACATCATCTTCGAAAAAAAAAAAAAAATAGAAAAATAGAAAATAGAATATAGACTTACTTCTCCATTGTGAATTATGCCACATCCCCCAAGCCCCACGATACCATTCATGTCCATTTTGTCCACCCTCGCTCAAAAAGTCCTTGAATGGCGCAGTAAAAACAGCCTCAACCTCGCTGGAATCCAAAATAGGTATAAGTGACACCTCAGGATCGGCATTCAGCCCCGAGTGTGGATCATAGCTGTGGAGGAGAGCGACGCAGGGACGTACAACCACCTCCGTTTTGGCCAGATTAGCCGGGAATTCGCAGAGATGCTCCACGCTGAATGGGGGTGGAAGCTTTTGGTTAATATCGGGGAGGCCGATCTCCTCACTTGCCTCGCGGCGCGCCGTTTGGAAGGCTGTTTCGTTGTTATCTGCTCGGCCTAAGGAGTAGAAGAGGCATCAGTCTATATTTTGTTTTCTTTTTCTTGTTTCTTTTTCTTCTTTTTCCTAATTCATCTTAAGGCGACCAACTTGACTCGGCTTTCGGCCTTCTTTTTCTTTTTCTTTTCTTCTTTTTCTTTTCTCCTTTTGGTAAAATGTCAACTTACCACCAGGCAAAGCAGCATCTCCTGCATCTACACCCGAACAAGATTAGCCTACTCCCGAACAACCAACCCATGTCATGCAGCCACCTGGAAACAGGGCTGATCCACGTCTCTTTCCCCTTGGAAAACTTACACGAACTTAGTGTCTTAGCCCGGATCGTAACAACGACCTTAAGGTCACCCTTGGCATCGGCGAAGAGCAGGATCAGCACAGCCGCCCGTCTGCTGAGCGGGACCGAATTGTACACTGTTGGCGGGGGGATGTAGTTTCGAAGTCTGCTGATTGCGTCCTATACATCATAAGTGTCAGGGTATTCTTATTCCTTATTCCTAACGGGATTGGGTTTCAATATCGGGATGGACATCCACGGGGAAAAGGAAAAAGAACGGTGAGGTTTCGGTTGAAACAAAACAACCAAAACCTTCCTTCTTGACCGTGAAGAAGAACTTGTCTTAGACACACAGGAATAGAAGAATGTTCCATCTCGCTCTTTCCCCAAATCAAGAG